TATACTAAAGCAGCCTGCTGATTGGTTGAATTTGTGATGTTTATTCATTGCATTTCTGTCTAAAACATGTGATGATTATTGCTTTTCATTCATACATTGTATTACCCCTTTTGCCTGTGACTATTGTATTGTTGCTTTTCCTGCGAAGTGTATCGGCTTTTTTTTTTTTTGTCTAATAAATATCGTTATATGAGTTACTTTGGCATTTATTTATTTCTCAGATGTATATAAACTTGCCCTCTGGGTTTGTTCTCTACTTTCAAAACTGGCCCCAGACACATCTTCCAAAACATGTCCAGACTTGTCCTCTTTATTCAGTAATATGAAATGAAATTAAAAATAAATAAACATCCAACCATAGGATGTAGTACCTCATACAACCACATGGTGGCAGACTCTATGAACATTGTAAAGGGGCGTGTCTATTACATGCCGTATTGGGTGTGGTTTCATAAAAAAAGGGGCGGGCACCCATCAACGCGCAATGGGTTGGGCCCTATTGCGCAAGGGGCGTGGTTTCATGAAAGGGCTGGGCAACCATCACCACTCAGGGGGCGGAGACCTATTGCGCAACAGGCGTGGTTTCATAAAAAGGGGCGGGACGTCTGTCATATTGCGCAAGGGGCGTGGTTTCATTAAAAGGGGCGTGGTTTCCTAAAAGGGGCGTGGTTTCATAAAAGGGGGCGGGGCACCTGTCAAAAGTTAGTTTGATGACTTGTACCGTTTTATACTACTTATATATATAAATAAAATGAATTTGAAAACAGATCAGTGTACATCCCCTGCCGGCCCATGCAAGGCCAGTGCCATGCAAGCGCCAGCCCTGCAGTGTGCTTTCATGGGCCAGTGGGGAGACAAACTATCTCCCCACCGGCACTGAGATGCGGCTGGGGAGGGAGGACCCGGAGGAGCTCTATCCTGCAGCTCTGCCGGGTTTCTCTCTTTAGGTTGGAGCGTTGCCAAAGTTACTATGGCAAAAACTCTACACCAGGAACTACACTCCTTACCGGACCACCAGGGATTTCCCACCGGACCACCAGGTCTGGCAACAAGGTCCCCCGTCCCAGTCAAAGGTAAGAAGGGAGAGGGGCATAAACTATATATATTTTTAATAATAATAATAAAAAAATATATTATATACATACATACACACACACACACAGTACCTTGCAAAAGTATTCACCCCCTTGACTTTTTACCTATTTTGTTACATTACAGCCTTAAAGGGAAACTCCAGTGCCAGGAAAACAAATCAGTTTTCCTGGCACTGCAGGTCCCCTCTCCCTCCCACCTCCCATCTACAGTGAAAACCCCTTCAGTCACTTACCAGAGGCAGCGACATGTCTCACGTCGCTGCTTCTTCCTCCGCCGCTCCTCCCCTTTATTACGTCAGCCGGTGGACGAGACTGATCCTGCCCACCGGCTGGGGATACCTAATGCGCATGCATGTTTTTCAATGCTTTCCTATGGGGAATTGAGCAACGCTGGAGGTCCTCACATAGCGTGAAGACGTCCAGCGACGCTCTAGCACAGGTTTTCTGTGCTATGAAGGAGGAAGTGCCCTCTAGTGGTTGTCTAGTAGACAGCCACTAGAGGTGGAGTTAACCCTGCAAGGTAATTATTGCAGTTTGGTCTGGGTGCCTGGAGTGTCCCTTTAAGTTCAATGTTTTATTAATCTGAATTTTATGTGATGGATCAGAACACAATAGTCTAAGTTGGTGAAGTGAAATGAGTGAAAATTTATACATAAAACTATTTAATAAAACACTCCACTGCACCCTTAACACACTCACACTATACCCCAAACACCACGCCTCACACACCCTGCATCCCTACACACATTACATCCCTTATACACACACCCTAGATCCCATACATAACTATGGATCCTCTACACAATAGATCCCCTATAGGCACACACTGCACCACCTACACACACTACATTAATGACATACACACTAAATCCCCTGTAAGCAAGCAAACACACACTTTACAACCCTACACACACTACAATTAGGCTCTACACACATGTACAATACGCTTTCCTTACACTTTTGTCCATTAGTATCCCACTTATGGAGAGACCGAAGACATGACACAAGGAAACACAACACAAGCATGTTAATACATTTGCTTGCTCTGCATAGAGAAAATACATGGCTTTTTTTTTTCATGCAAGAGCTCTGCGCATTGAACCAACATGCTCACTTTGAGAGGAGGTGACAAAGCACGCCCTCTCTGGCTCGCCCCCTTCTCAGTGGGCCACTGTGAATCAAAAATGCCTGGGGCCAAATTTTTTTCCCCAGTCCAGCCCTGCCTGTGTACATATGTACACAGGCAGGGCTGGACTGGGGGGAAAAAATTTGGCCCCAGGCATTTTTGATGTACGTGTTCAAAAGTCTGCTTCTAAGTCCACAGTGTTCCTATCAAGGTAAGTGGCACTGATTACTGGTATCTGTGCTTTTAGCAAGTGAATCGGCGTCTTTGATACGATGGATGGTGATGCATTATTTTGTACATTTTTGCTTGCCTGTATTGGCATATAATAAAAAAAGACTCTATAAATTGGAGTTAAGACACAGCCTCAGTATGTGACAATCTGTGAACTGCAGTGAAAACACAGGGACTGTCTATGTGTTTATTGTAAAGAGAAGTAACATCATCAATATATGTGATACTTTGTATGAGCTGTTATAAACACACAGTCCCAGTATTTGTAATTGATATACTCTCAGGAGAACAAATGTATGTGAACCCACCTCTCCAGTATATGTGACAAATATAAGCTCCCTGTAGGAGTTGAATGGAAAATACAGCTGAGTTCCAACAGAATAAGAGCACTTTTGCATTGGGTTACTACCCGTTAAGGATTAGTAAGTCTGTTCTTCAGCTTTCTACTCAAAAATATCTTTAGAAGAGACAGAGCATGTTGTTTTTTGCCTATCATTGGTATTTTCCACACACACACCTGTGTTCTATGGGTAATTTTAGAAAAATGATGGATTAGTTGCAGATATTCTTGAGCTTGCCCAGGTGCCCATCCCATGGGTGGGAAGGAGGCTTGACATCCAAAATGAAGAATGGTAGTTATCTATAGCAGTTTAGAGAATATGAAGATAATAAATAACAATAAAGAAATGTATGCATATGAAAGAGGTTGCCTGAGTATTAGATTTTCCAAATACACACTCCTCATTAATCAAGACAATCAATTTTAGAGGTTTCATCCCACCTATTAAATTATTATTGGGCCCCTCCCCCCCAAATTTTTTTTTAAAAATGCAACGCTTCTCTTAGAGAACAATTGGGGCTCTACAGAACATATGCAGCAATTGCCACTCCACCACTGAAATGCAACTCACATTGAAGCATTAAAGGCACCCAGAGCACTGCAGCTCATTGTAGTGGTCTGGGTGCTGTATCCCTTTTGCACTTAGTGATGCAATGTAAAACATTGCAGTTCCAGAGAACGACACCTTAAAAATCTATAGTGCCAGGAAAACAGCCTTGTTTTCATGGCACTATAGGATCCCGTTAAGGTAAGTACAAAACTTCTGGAATAAAAGGGAATCGTGACATGTCAGTAATTGAAAGTGCCTGTAGGTTTGACAGCCAATATAAACATTCTGACTGCATTTGTAAACATTAACATGTCTCACACACAGAGATGTTTACATTTGTCAGAGTGCAGGGGCTTTGCACCAAAACTACTATATTAAGATAGATTGGTTTTGGAGCTTACACCGTCCTTTTAAAGGGACACTCTGGACCCCTAAAGCACTTTAGGTTGCTGTAAAACAATGTGTGAAGTGACACTTTTATAAATTATGCTGGTTACACCCCTGGCTTTTCAAGCAGACAACAGGCCCTGTTAGCTTAGTTGCACATGACTCAAGAGGCAGCAATTGCCCAGAGCACCTGCCTTGCAAAGACGTCTCATTGTGCTGCATTGAGAAGTCAGTGATTGGACCGTCACATACAGTTTGGGTGGGGTTTGAAGGGGAGGGTTTGCAAAGGCAGCAGACAATATCATTGCAGTTATTTTTGCAAGTTGTTATATAGACATAATTCCAATGAAAGAATGCATAATTAAATGCATGCAAGTTTTCATTTGGGGTATAGCTACTAAACAGAGATTTTTTATAAATTTTGTATTTGGGCAATAAAGTGTCCCTTTAAGCCTCTAAAAAGCTAGTACTTGACCATTTCTAATCTGTATGCTACAGTTTAGCATTACTTTACCAAGGGAAGTCTTGACTATGATTTGACTAAGTTCATGAAAACCCGTTTATATTATGGGGTCACAACTAATTGCATTTGTTTTCTAATTATTGAACAAATTAACAGAATGTGATACTTCTGCTTTGCAGACACTAGTCTGAAAATTACCCAATTATATGCCAGGTTTATATATTTTATTTTCAGGCTCTGAATTTATGACACTGTTTTTAGCATTGAATAATTTTCCTAAAACATAATTTGTATCCAGAAAATATCTTAATTGTGTAGTCTTTATGGCATTTCATAACAGGTTGCTTATGTGTACCTGCTCTGTGGACTCCTTGCTGGAGACTACATTAAGCCATATTACCCTTCATTGACAATTATATAATACAATTGCAACTTGTTCCAACAAGTATTTTTAGTCCTCTTTTTAAGAGGAGGTAAAAACACTCAAGTACTGTACACTGACCTGTTACATGCATGTGTACACAATACGAGGAAGGGTGTCATCAGCCAACTTAATATGTCCTCTGTGCTTGGCTTTTGAGCTTAAAATATTTACACTAGCACTCTTTCACAAAATCAGTTTTTACATATAAATGTCAGTGAGTCACTATTCCATTACATTCACCAGGAAGGACAAAAACACAGGTCATGTACAAGCCAGGATTTTCTACAAATAATCTGTAAGCAAATATATTCAGATGTTCCATTTGCAAAAATATCCATTACTCCTACAACTTTGTATATGTAATAAAATACAAGTTTCACTCTTAAACATAATATGAAATGCTTTCCTTTATTTCATATTTAAGAAATGTTGATACACATGTGACAATAGTACATATTAGGTGACTGCATGTATTCACTTTCTGATCACTGCTATTGTGTTAATGAAATTTTTTTTGCCTGGGGTACAATAACAGTTGTTCACATGTAAAACCAGTGATGTAAGGCAAATTAAAAGAAAAAACGCTGGCTACATAGGATACAGAATGTGCTGGCACAAATTTTATTTTATGTTCCCAAAAAAATCAATTTTGCTTACACAATATTAAGAGCCAAGAAAGTTTATTTTACTGAACCAGACTTTGGCAAAATATACTTTTAGAATTATTGGCCATCAAACTGTTATAGAAGTAGAAATAGGGTACCTGGAGGCTGATCAATAGATTAAGTGACATAATTTGGCACCTAATTAGGGATTAACGATATATTAAAGCTGTTTTTGCAACAACAGACAATTCTCATAATTCTATATTGAAAATAGAATTGTTGGGGAACCCTTGTGCTAGAGAGAGACTTTTTTACGTCAGAACAAATGTAACATTTTCAAAATGCAGATTACTAACAACAAAAAAAAAAAAAAGATGCTACTCTGAAATACTTATCAAGGCAAATCAACCAAATGGATTGCTTCATATTTATCACAGTATAAATCATATGTTTTGAATCTGAAGACCAATTTAACTTGATGAGTAAGATCCATCTTTCACTTTTAATATTAGCAATGTGATATATACTATATGCTAAAAGGTTATCCACCAGTAAACGTTGTGAATTTACATAGCTAAGCCGCTAACATAGTTGTAGACTATTAATGATTCGGCAATGTGTCCACCCGAATCATTTGCACTGAAATAGTTAAATATTACAATTAAATTAGAGAAAGGCTTTTCACTACCACAGTGCATAGATATGATTTATATATAAAGTGGACCTGCAAACAGTATTGTTTTTTCTATAAATATTTGGAAAAACTATGTATTTTTTTTGGACACACACAGAAACAAATTGTGGGATACATTGGTGTCCTCCAAAATGAGCACATTTAACAAATCTTGTAAAATGTAACAGACAACATAGGAAGCTTTATGGCATGACTGTATGTCAAAGAACAATTTGAATTGCCATCACACATCTAAGCTTGGCAAGCCTTGAATAAAACTATATTTAGACCTTTAATAGATGGGATGTTAAAATACCAGACCACCCAACTTGCAAGTGGCTGGAAAAGATTCACCCCTAGAAGAATCTTTGCCATTAACACCACAATAGCTTGTGTGGCATTTTATTTTGTCTTAAGCTACCAATAGACAATTAAACAAAACGTTTAATTTGAGATTGCCTAAAATATATTAACACTGACCTGGTTAAACATAAAGCATATTTGGAAAGGAAAAAAAAAAGCCAAAAGCCACCATAAGTACAAAAAATAAAATAGACTAAGGGTTTACTTTGTTGAGGTCATTACTTAAGTAGGCTTCAAAGAATATTGGTCCTCGTTCATTACTTAATTCAGGCTAATTGCTCCAGAGAGCTCAGATTTGCTCCCAGGTGCTAAGGAAGTTAAGGTATGTAGAGAGAGAATGGATAACAAACAGTTTGCTAGAATATAGGGTAAACCCTCTAGCACATAAAAAAAAAATTGTATAATTGACCATAGACAGAAACACATTTCCAAAAGAGCTCTTCAAAATTAGAAACATGCGTTTTACAGTGGTGCCACTGTCACATTTTTTTTTTTATTTATGCACCTAATCTTCATCAAGATTTGTGTATACCACAATATTTTCCATGTACTGCCTTTTCTTCAGCACAATTCCTCAGTTTCACTGCAAAGTACAATAACCAGGTGTATCAACTAATTATAGCAAAGCTGTAACCAAAGACAGAGGGATTCTTCTTACTGGGTTCGAAGTTGATAGTCTATGGAAAGGATTAAAGAAAAAGAAAAAAAAAAAGTATGATACATAAAATTCCCTATTAACATGCAAGAGGTTTTCTGGTTAAAGGAACATACTAAGCACCATAACCACTAGATTTTGGGGTTCAAGTTCCACTCCAAGCATCATAACCACCTCAGCTTGCTGGTTACTGATTTTGTTGCAAGGAGTGGTCTGGCAACCCCTACTGTAAGCAATCAAACCAAATGTTTTGACTTATTACCTGGGGTGCTTCAGGTTCTTTATAGGAAAGAGTGAAGTGGGGATTGGCTCCTGGTGGACCCCAGGTAAGAGGTCAAACCTTCTTAAAATGGTTTGACTACTTACAATAATGTAGTAGTTATTGTCCTTGGAATGCTTATTTCACATAAAAAAACAACAACAAAAAAACAGGAACAAAACAATGCATTACTGTGAATTGCCAGTGGTGCAGTATTCCACATATTTCTGTATTGTTACCCTACTTGAATGCATTAGATCATAACCACATCTTATTGTGCTTATGTTTTCCTCCTTCAATGTAGCTACAAGTTTAATATTTTTTTGCTCTGCGCTTTCAATTATTACATGATTGAAAACACAAATATTTCTGCATTTAGTAATTAGAGGCACAATTCAATATATCCCTGCATATCTATTTCAATTACTAAATGATTTATATCATACCAGCTTCCACGGATATAACCCGACTCGGTAAAAGCCAAAGTCAGTATAATCATGTAGATTAATACAAATTAATATAAGTGTTGATAAATGCAAAGGAACTACATATACTCAACAACTCTAATATTACACTAACCAATGGGAACCTACAAAAAATATATATTATGAACTTTTATATCCATGGCTTCCATGCCCATTTCACTTCTTTATTTTTGTACATTATCTGTGAAGTTTCTGAAATTGCAATCTATTTACAATGGTTGGCATTTCCTATCTAAAATAATGCATACTTTTTTTTTCATGAAGTCTCAAGTTCCAGGACCAAAACCATAATACATTCCAAATATAAAACTGAAAGGGGCAAGCTAAATAGCTGTAAATATTACCTCCATTTTGGGTTATGTAGCGCACCCATGGCAAAGCTTGATAGCCACTCTTTTCAATTATTTTCAAGTAACGAACCTATTTAAAAAATATATTGGGGTGAAAAGATAAAATACATAAAAGCAAAACAAAATGAGATTGCTTTTGCTAATGCAGCTGATTACAGTTTAGTTTAAAAAATATATATATAAATGCAAATAAATACACAATATAACTAAATGTTACCTGGATCCCAGAGGTAGTAAAGTAGGGAATCTCAAATTTCACACTGATTGGAGGCTTGCCTTCTTTATCCTCTGCCTCTACACTTGGAAGCCCAAAATGAGCCCTCATAAGATATTCTTTTCCACCCTAGAGCAACAAAAAAAGATTACTAGAACACTGACACACAGTGATTTATATATAAACTGAAATCTTGGCATTTAATCAGAAAAATCATACAATATATCCTGAAACCCCCTTTTCTCTAAATACAAATGATGGTCTGGTTCTCTCTCTACATAAATTATGTAAAATCACTAATCTATATGTATCACAGGCATGCATCAATGTAGCACGTCCAAATACAGACGCCATTTTGTTGCGAAACTCTAGATTAGGTTTTTTGAAAACATTTTAATCCACCAGAAATAATCTGTATATATTACAGGGTTTGTAAGAATACACAAGCGGAACTTTACTTCATATACACATAGATTTTTCTTCTTACCGGGAATGACTTTATAGACCACACTATTTCACTGTTCTCAGGAACCCATTTTACACTTCCCACAGTGGTTTTAAACTTTGGGGAGTCTGCATCATTTGGCACAGGAATGTGAATCTCAACATTGTTGGCTGTGGATCTGCGTTTGAACTGACTTTTAGCCTGAGAGAAAACAAATAAAATCAGAAATTATGCTCTGTATGTTTGTACCATTTTAAAGGTTGGTTGGTTACCAGGAGGAAGTATAAGCTACCAAGTACCACGTGAAGACGACAAAAGGAACTGAATGGAGTTGGCAAATGAGAATGAGAAGATACTGCATTCTGCAACTGTGCGGCGCATCATGAGTCAATAGAAAAACATGGAAATTCTAAAATATTTGTTGCCACTTTTATCTCTTACTTCTACTCCTAGATCATGATCTGGATGCTGTGTGTCAATATGAGGAAAGAAATGTTCCTTGTATAGAGATCGATTTAACCTCTTAAGGACCAAACTTTTGGAATAAAAGGGAATCATGACATGTCACGTATCCTTAAGGGGTTAAGAAGATTTAAACAAATAATAGCTTACGGGGGTGATTTTGGAGCAATCCCTCATCCATAGGAATATTCACATGATCCGAAACCTGCAAATCCTGCAGAAAGACATTCCTAGGAGTCTTTGACTTACCTCTAAGGTGATTTATCATGTTGTCATAATGCGAGTCAGTGACATGGACAATGAACTTATGAAAAGAGGCCTTTTTGATATTTACAGTGGAAATGGATACAGTGCATATCTTCCAGGAATATTAATGAAAGTAAAGGACTGCATGGATTTTAATTAAAAGTAATGGCTCGCACAATCTAAGTGAAATCCCAGCCTCTGTTTTGTTATTTATGGCTGGCAGTTCTCATATTCTTGATAGTAGGCTCTCAATAGTTATTCATTAAGCTGCTTATGTTTCTCTGTAGATTTCATTGCATCACCCAAGTATTTGAATGTATGGATTGATCACAGTACTGCATCAGGCAAATAACTTGTTTTCTGCATTGCTGCAAAGACCAGACCCGGTCTGTGTACAGATATTGTATTGTTATTTTAGATTGTCACACATGTATTAACTTATTTTTTGGAGGCAGGGGTACTCAATCTGTCTTTCTGCTAAAAAACATTTTATGGTGCTCACTGGGTTTGTCCCCAGCAACTTGCGTCAATGACACTTTATGAATAATTAGAAGAGCTTTTATTACTTGTGATGGACATGAAAATGTACTTCTGGAGTTACCTACCTTGATCATATACTCTATGCGACTGTGGGAATGTTTTTCTATTACAGATTCAATCCAGATGAGAGGCTTTACCTAAAACACATTGGAAAATTTGTGAAAATACATAGTATGGACTAAAGTATTTTTATTATTTATTTCTGAATTCTGGTAGGGGAAAATAAAAAGCACTTGCAAATATGCAAATAAATATATTTCAATTTCAGCACAGTTCTTCAGCAACCAATGCAAAACTCTTTATTGTTTAGCAGACAAAAGTTTGTAAGTGTAAAAATAAATGCTTCGCAAAGCCAAGTGAAAAATAAAATCAGTATAATACATTCAATTCAGCCGACTGGAATGGATGTGATGCAAGTGAGCTCCAGATTGAGGACCCATTTATTACAGTGTAACAGTAGCCCCCTCCCCCCCTTTTCACTTAAGGGCCCCCACCCACCACACATGGGTGGGGACCTGGGGAAGGACTGTAGCCCTTTGGAAGGACTGTAGGAGGGAGACAGTAGGGGGCACTATAGGGAACTGAAGTGCCAGGAAAAAAAAAACGTTTTCCTGACACTATAATTTCCCTTTAAATAAGAAGGTTAGGATAAAATAAAAACAGCCAAGTGTGTGACAAAATCCGCTTTAAAGATGGTGGCACCAGAAAACCAGGAATAATACTATTATTATTATTGGTATTTATATAGTGCCAGCTTATTCTGAAGAGCTTTACAATAAGATGGAATACTATAACATAATGACCATTTTATCCCAGTAAACATTTTTAATATAATGGGTTTACCGTATTGATTTGCAAAGGCAACAGTAAATGAAACAGTAACAGAAATGTGACTATGCCTTTTTAAAGGGACACTAAGATACACAAACCACTTCAACTTGAAGTGTTTAATGTGCCTGGAGTCGTATATTTGTTACAGTTCAGATTTCCAAAGATTAATCAGTGCTTTTACAATTTTTTCATGAAATAGCTAAATCATTTTTTTAGGGTTTTTTTTTTTGTATGTATGTATATAGGAAATGTGGAATTTTATTTATACAACTTATGTGTAGAAAAAAACTCATACCTCAACACTTACATGTGTGTTCAAACGATAAGACATGAGCTCAAACTCTCCATCAGGAGGAATGAACGATATAGTCCTGTCATTCTCAAATCTAGAAAGGCGTACACATTGGTGGAACTTGACATCTTCCAGCTCCACTGACTTGCTTTTCCCACCTGTAGCATTGAATACAACAGTGTAAGAAATAGATTGAACATCAAAACAGTGTTTAAGTTATTCACTTGACGTAATAGTCACAATTTCAAAGTAATGGCAAAAATAAGCCAACTCAGAGGTTTTAGGTTAAAAAATTCTGTTATTGTGGTCCAAAATACGATTTTTCCCAAACAAACAACTTTGTCATTACACTAGGATGCCTACAATTAAAGGAAAGTATCACCACATAGCTCAGTTGAAGGTCGTCTACATTTAGTGTAGAGTAATAGTACACGATCAATGCAGGAAAATAATTAACAAGATATACACTGTGATCTATTCAGGAAGCAGAAAAGCTGCTATAGCAAATTGGAGCACAGTCATTCAGCTCAGTGCTCTTCAATTTGGTTGAAAACATCTCTCGGAGATTTACTTTATTATTCAATATCCAAGCAAATTTTCAAATTAAAATAATTGAGAAGTGAGACTTGTTTGAGAAAAGCTTAAAGCTATAGTCACCAAAACAACTTTAGGTTTATGAAGCAGTTTTTTGTGTGTATATATCATGCCTCTGAAGATTCACTGCAATTTAAGAGTTAAATCACTTTTGTTTCATTTATTTAGCCATAGCCACACTTCTTCCCTCTCTGTGATTGAGACAGACTACATGAAAACCAAATGGTTTCATTTTCAATCAGACGTAACTGAACTTTTTTTATCTCCAGCTCTGCTCTATGAATTGAACTTTAATCACATACAGGAGACTCCTGCAAGATCTAGCAAGCTATTAACAGAGCAGGAGATACATTCTAAATTAAACAGAATTTGCAATAAAAGGAAGTATAAGCATTAGATGACGCTTTACATGAAGGAATGCAGTGCAAGTCACATGCAGAGAGGTGTGCCTTAGGCTGTAAAAACAAATCTGTGGCAAAGATCCTAAATGGCAAAGAATTAAGCAGTAAAACTACAGGGGGGTGATCTATACACCAAAACTGGTTGATTAAATAAAGCTGTTTTGGGGAGTGTCCCTTTAAGTCAAATTGCAACCGAATGACAATCAAGTGTCCATGCACAATGGCTGAAATAAATTTAACGGTCATTATTTGAACAGCTGAATGAGTTTCACATAGCAATGGCTGCCATTCAGCTCTTAATAAAAAAGCCAATTTCTGGCAAAGAGGAACAACACCCCCCACAACTTACGTCCTGTGTTTTCAAAAAGAACTTTATCATTTAGTCCAAGTCTGAGTTCAGGCATTCCTGAGAGAAACACTCTCATTTTGATGGATCCAACTATCTCGCTTCGCAATACATTGCCATTTGCACTGACCTAGGAGAGAGTTACAAATTAAATGTGGTAGATGATATTTATAACATGGATACAATTTATGGCATGGGCTCTGCAGAGTGTTTCCTAGAAGACAATATTCAGGAAAAATAACATGCATCTCTACACCCATGTTTAATAGACATAAGTGTTCATGTAGATAACATTTGAATGGGTCATGTGGCAGGGTAAAAGATCAAAGGCTCAAAACAAGCAACACATTGCATAGTCAAGGATGTGTTATTCATATCGCCCAGGCACATGTATTTTTGGGCATGCAATTTGTTTTGTCTTAAGCTCTGCTGCAAACAAATCACAAGGTCGCTACATAGGATGGGTTAGTGCTGTGCAGAAAGTGCAGACCAGATTTACCAATCCCTCACATTCCCATTCTAACAAGTCAGAGCACCGGGACTATGAGAGAGTAATTATGATGGTCTGCACCTGCCGGGAGGCACAAACCACATGCTCCCTCAGTAAACCGGAACTCTTAACAACATGTGATCATTGCCCCAAATGCATAAAAAGCTCCATTTGGTTTGAGGTCTTATCTCCACAGGACAGGCAATCCCACTAGGGCTTGAGCTGCTGGGTTACTTGTTAATTTGTATAGCTTACACTTAGAACAACTTAGACACACTGTGTTGTTCCAGTGAGGATCATCAATTTACTGGAGGAGATAGGGTTGCTTTCTCAATTTATGTAATCTGAAACAATTGTCCATTTCATATTTATGAGCACAATTACATAATGTTTTTGGGTGATGCACCCCCTTGCTTGGGGTTTCCTTTTCCAGATACACCTGAATCATTATATATACGGCTCACGTTTTCTCCCTCACCGGTGTTTTCGTCAATATAATGCTGCACCATTATTTTTGCCTTGGTATGCTGGATAATTGTACTAATTGCATTCTATGTGATTCTTATTTTTCATTGAAAATTTCAGTATGGATCATTGCATATACCAACTGGGTTATTCACTAAATTGTGAATCCAAAGTTAATTTAACATTTAAGATCACTATGTCAGCTTTCAGTTTAGCTACTCTGGCCTTAAATTTAAATTTCACATTCAATTCTCACTTTAGTAAATAACCCTGCAAATTTCTCTAAATTCACTTTTGTCACACTATGCTACCTTATATATGTGATTTATTATCTTATCCATTCAAAAAAGGGGGGAAGGTAAACCTTTGATTGGTATGAGACAAGAGACAGAGGTTAGATAAAGGGATGTTAAAGGGTTACTCCAACCATGATAGCTACTACAGAAAAACAGAGCACATGACCAACAGACAGACACACACACAAACAATTGTGGGGAACAGAGGGTGAGTGTTGTTTGCAATAATTGGATTTTTCACAAATTAAATCTGCAAAGAAAAACTGGGCCAAAGGGTAACTATTGCTGAGCTGGAGATTCTTTTCCCAGATAAGCTTTTTTTTTTTTTGTATCAGTTTTTCAATTTCAGATTTGATTCACAAAAAAATGTGTTGAGTGAATGACTTTGTCAATGTCCACGACACTAAGCAGGCACTCCAATCAGAAATGATTTTGTATGCAAGAACAAGTAGATTTGGTTACTGTTATTTTATTTCCACACCTCAGCACAGTGTTTACTTTAGTATCAACAGCTACAAAAAAAGTCACAATGTTTACCATCTGCTTGGCTCCTTCACTCCCTGATCTAAAAGCAATCATTATTTTCACTTACCATTTACAAATAAATTGAAATCACATCAGACATCACAGTGTTTACAGGAACAATAAGACAGCATTAAAAGACTTTGCATCAAAACCACTACACTGAACATTAAAACAGTGAAAACAAATCTAAGCAATCCAAAAATGTATGATGCTCATCAAACCAAAATGTGGCAGCTTATGGAGAGGTAAGAGGAGCCACAATGCTAATAAGCACGGAGGCATTAAAGTATAAGAATGATCTAAACTTTTCCAAGTCTTCTAAACTGACACACGTACAGATATTCAAAAGGTTAAACAAGGAAATGTGCTCTGAATATGGAGATGTAAGACACAGCTTGGGAGGGGCAGGTGGCTGGCAGGGCTGTTGAGGGTCACTGTGACCAGTTTCTGAGAGAAATGATCATAACAAGTGCACTCTGGTGATAATTCAGCCTTTCCCATTTTCATAGTGTAAGATTGCCAGTTGCCAAGTGTAGGATTGCTCAAATCGATATGCCGGACAAAATAACAATAAAAGGTATAACATATTTCTCTAAACGTAATCGTGGGTGAGGCAGATTCTTCACAACTCATTTCTACTTATATAACTGAACAGTTAAGCAAATATTAATAATAGCACTCCCTAAATTGTGGTTTATGAAGAGCAAATAACAGAATATCAACTGCTGTGAAAATGAACAGTTCATACTTTAGTGTTTACAGCTTTGGTGATCATATTTAACGGTTTGCAGCACGGGAAGGAATGCTTTACCACTTATTCCTAGAAGTCGCTTTCCCTAGGCTTACTGATGGAAAATATACAAAGCTTTGAAGATCATGGTTTCTTATTAAAATAGGCCAGGAGGTGTGAGTGTGAGGGAGAGGGAAATGGACACCCACAACAAAACACAGAAGCAAAAAAAAAAAAAAAAAGGACAGGGGGGGGGGGGGGGGGGGAGGAGGATGCAACCAGCATGCATCATGATTATTTTGCATCTACGGCTAGTACATCTAGTACATTTACAATGCGAACATGCGCAGTGCTGACATGAATTAATGCCAGTTGTGTTTGTCAAGATCTTTGCACTTCCAAAACGGACTGGCAAGTATATGCAAGTACAAATGTGAATACCTACTAATTGTCCTATTGCAGTGAATGTGAGTCTAGGGACTGTCTGGAACAGTTCATTCACTTCTTGGATAACACAATGTGCCTTGTGAGAGGACTCAGGGATTTGCTTTCTCTGCATTGTGCTACTTTATACAGTCCCTTCAAACGAAATATCTGATAATATGCTGACATACCCGTATTTTAGAAAAGATATGAGAGGACGCATAGGATTATAAAGTTCAAATTAACTTGTATTGTAAAGCCAATGTCATATTTATATGTAGATGAGCTACACTACATGGTGATTGGGTGCCATTTAATAACATAGTTAATGACATTGCAGAGGCCAATCTAAGACCTTACGTTTTTGACAGAGTAAGAATGAGATCAGAGCACACATAATTTGTGGCAAATTAATAAAATATTTCAAAACAATTAACATGATTATCCAGGCACAGTCATTAGTACACTTTAAGGCCAGAACTAAACTGTAAATCACTGCAATTAGGTTACTAGTAGAAGGAGCAAGGTTCTAAGGATCATGACACACACTGAGTGAATTACATGGCGATTGCTCCACATTTGTATTACAAAAATGATTCCAATTCCCCTTACCTAAAAACCAGTGTAGATCAGAGTAAATTTACCAGTGAACATTCATATGTTCCCCCTCAAACTGGAGCTGGTGGAATTGTCCCATTTAGCATTACAAACATGCATATTAGCAGTCAGATTGGACTTATAAAGAGCATGGATGTAGAGAACAAACAAGCACAGAAATTAATTACTTTGTGCTTATGTTTCATTACCTACAATATTTAACATTTTACTTACCAATAGGTTAACCGATTCTATCACATCCAAGAAGACTTCATTCTTCCTATATTTGATTCCCTCTGATCTCCAGGATACAGCATTGGTGACTGTAGCAGGCGGACGAGGGGCACCAGTTTCTAATTTGTGTCCTTCTTGAGTGATGTACCTGTTATAAGGGAGGATATCATGTTAACTATGCTGCAAAGACAAACTGGTTCTCAATTCTTATTTGTTAAACAACTGTTTTAAATAGACAGAGTCTGCACGTCCACTGAGCTTTCCACTAAAATGAACCATCAATATGTTTTTGTTTTTTTTAAAGGCCTTTATTGTGTCAGATACTAAACCATTGTGTGTTTAGTTGTGGTGAGTGTGTTTAGTTTAGTCCAGTTAAACAGTTAACAGGTTAATCCAAACATCATAACCGCTACAGCCCACTGAAATGTTTATGGTACCTGGAGTACCCTGGCTTGGTTCCCTGGTAATGGGGTAAACCGCTTAGACTAGGTTTGGTCCCTTGCCCTACTGGGTTTGCTCCTTTACCCAGGATTTCGCTCCTAGGATCCCTGGTGGTCCAGAGCTGCAGAAGGCAGAAGCCATGGAGGTTGACATTCATTGGCTGAGAGAATCAGCTGACTGCTGTCAGCCAGTGGCCATCAATCTATTAAACGTTGCACCGAATTGACATTAAGAGAAAATAGGAGGGGGGGGGGCGGAGGGAGTGTATATTGCAAAACAGCAACAAAATAAATAAATCATCACTCTTAATAGGAGTGTAGGAAACAAGTGCTTAACCCCAATATGAGATGTAACAAATGTCCTACTGAAGCGACTCAATAATAAAACAATTTTATATTAACAGTTTCTATTGACTTCCAATGTAGAATTAGTACATTTCATTTCAAAAGGCATTAGCGTCCTATTACTATTTTAATGGCATGCCTTTATGTGCTTAGTTGGAAGGCATAGACTAACAGACACATAAAAAGAAGAAAAACAGTTATACTGAAAAAAAATTCAACCTTTTCTTTTTATGTATCAGTTAGTCTAGGCATTTAAAGGCATGTCATTAAATGTTAAAAAAGACGTTAATGCGTTTTGAACCCAAATATAATTTAATGATTTTACATTGGGAGTCAACACAAACTGTTAATATTAAATGGCACAGGTTATATTAATCTCTATATTAATCTCTGTATGTGAAATATTGCACATACTGACTCCAGGCACCATGACCACTACAATTCACTAAAGTAGTTAGTTCTTGGAGTAACCCTTAAAACACTGACTTAGGATAATGAAAAGGCAAAAAAAAAAAAAAAAAAAGTATATTATATAATAATGTACAATTACTAAAACTTACAAATAAATAGAGAAAAAAAGAGGAGGAACACTGCCGTGAATAAAGTAATTAAAACATAATTTTTAATAGTAAAAAATACGATTTGGTTTCATCTGTCCACAGAATATTTTGCCAGTACTGCTGTGAAACATCCAGGTGCTCTTGTGCAAACTGTAAACGTGCAGCAATGTTTTGTTTGGACAGCAGTGGCTTCCTCTGTGTTATCCTCCCATGAAATCCATTCTTGTTTAGTGTTTTACATATTGTAGATTCGCTAACAGGGATGTTAGCATTTGTCAGTGACTTTTGTAAGTCTTTAGCTGACACTCTAGGATTCTTCTTCACCTCATTGAGCAGTCTGCGCTGTGCTCTTGCAGTCATCTTTACAGGACGGCCACTCCTAGGGAGAGTAACAGCAGTGCTGAACTTTCTCCATTTATAGACAATTTGTCTTACCATGGACTGATGAACAGCAAGGCTTTTGGAGATACTTTTATAACCCTTTCCAGCTTTATGCAAGTCAACAATTCTTAATCGTAGGTCTTCTGAGAGCTCTTTTGTGCGAGGCATCATTCACATCAGGCAATGCTTCTTGTGAAAAGCAAACCCAGAACTGGTGTGTGTTTTTTATAGGGCAGGGCAGCTGTAACCAACACCTCCAATCTCATCTCATTGATTGGACTCCAGTTGGCTGACATCTCACTCCAATTAGCTCTTGGAGATGTCATTAGTCTAGGGGTTCACATACTTTTTCCACCTGCACTGTGAATGTTTACATGGTGTGTTCAATAAAAACATGGCAACATTTCATTCTTTGTGTGTTATTAGTTTAAGCAGACTGTGATTGTCTATTGTTGTGACTTAGATGATGATCAGATCACATTTTATGACCAATTTGTGCAGAAATCCATATCATTCCAAAGGGTTCACATACTTTTTCTTGCAACTGTAAGTGACTCTGCAGAAATATATATCTATGCCTACAGGGGCACTAACTATATCTGCATATGTTAATGAAAAACGGATTAGAGAGAGAAGTATACAAATTAGATTGTCAAAAAAAAAAATAATATAAATATATATATATATATATATATATATATATATATATATATATATATATATATATATATATATATATATATATATATATATATATATATATATATACCTTCAAGGGCACCTTTTGCCAAATAATTTTAACAAATGCAGAGCTCAAGATAGTAGTGAGTGACTCTACAGAAATATATAGATCTCTGTGCCTTCAGGGGCACCTATCAAGTAGAGGAACTAGCCGTAGTAACTAAGCAGATTAGAAAGAAAAGTACAGAGATTAGATGATTTTATCAGTGTATAACTGTGCCTTCATGGGCACCTGTCTCAAATATAAAGTGCTAAACTAGCTGGCTAACAGCCGAGAAAACCCTGCAAAGCGTGATATTAGTAAAGGAGAGATTGTCTGCATTGATTCCTAATCTCCATGCGCTATGTCCGAGCTTGCCTTTGTTTGCAGGCAGCAATCAACTAGAATCCCGCAGCCCAAATCACCCGTGATCTTAGATAAATTTGCAATGACAATAAAGTCCCAAAGTTAGAAAATAAATAGCAAAGGGACGGAAGGCTAAGGCTGAGGTGATCTAGATAGCGATCTCCAACCTCGACGCGCATTTCGCCGGTAAGGCGGCTTTTCAAGGGGAACTCAATCCCTGTCGGTGAGAGTTTAAATAAGGCGCTCAAAATGCTGATTGGTGATTAGAAAAGATGACATCAGTTGTTACTGACGAGAGATGGTGGTCAGAAAGGACCACAAAAGCTCTGTTTCCAAGAGATGTTAAATCATAAGTGGTAACTCATAAGTACACATTGATGGCATAAGCTACTGGTGTTATATTATATGCAACAGATAATGCAGGAGGTTATTATTATAATTATGCCATCCTATTAGATGATTTATATATCAATCCACTGCAGTAAGAATTTAAATGTATCATATCCACTGCAAAAGGCATTTAAGGGATCACTACCCACTGTGATAAGCATTTAAATGGATCATATTTCTTGCAATAAATAATGCAGAAAAAAAATATTTTTTACCTAATTAAACTCCTTATTAAGTCCCTGTGGGGTCAAAGTCCTGAATGAATAGATCCATTGTGATTCCTTTTGGAGTAACTGTTGGTTGAAATTCCCTTTCCTGGGATTGGGTGCCAATTTTTCAATGGCTTGAAACCTCAGATTATCAGCATTACCCTGGTGAAAATTCACAATGTGTCTGACTACAGGTGTAGGGGTTATGGTGTTTTTTTATGGAGTTCACATGTTGGAGAATACTCCGGCGGAATGGTTGGAAGGTCTTCCCAATGTACTGAATACCACACTTGCATGTAATTAGATATATTAATCGGGTAGTACTGCAATTCACCAAAGCATTGGTTTTGATGGTGATATTAGATTGTGTTGCTGTGGTAGATTGTGAGGGGGTGATTAACTGACAGGCCTTACAATGGCCACATCTATATGTTCCCTTGGTGTTTGTAAGCCAGTTGGGTTTCAATGGAATGGGAGCTAAATAGTTTCAGTGTGGAATTGTGTAGAAGTATGGACCAGTGTTTGGAGAAAGTTTGTGTCATTGTGCTCCAGCCGCTATCAAAGGTAGCGATACATCTAGACGTCAGAGCGCTTGGTTTAGTACGTGTGGATTTCAAACTCACTAATCTATCTGTTCACGGGTGATTTAGGCTGCGGGATTCTAGTTGATTGCTGCCTGCAAACAAAGGCAAGCGCGGACATAGCGCATAGAGATTAGGAATCAATGCAGACAATCTATCCTTTACTAATATCACGCTTTGCAGGGTTTTCTCGTGTGTTAGCCAGCTAGTTTAGCAGTTTATATTGGAGACAGGTGCCCATGAAGGAATAGTTATACACTGATAAAATCATCTAATCTCTGTACTTTTCTTTCTAATCTGCTTAGTTACTACGGCTAGTTCCTCTACTTGATAGGTGCCCCTGAAGGCACAGAGATCTATATATTTCTGTAGAGTCACTCACTATCTTGAGCTCTGCATTTGTTAAAATTATTTGGCAAAAGGTGCCCTTGAAGGCACAGATATATACATACATACATACACTGATATAATAATTTTTCTTTTGACAATCCAATTTGTATACTTCTCTCTCTAATCCGTATTTCATTAACATATGCAGATATAGTTAGTGCCCCTGTAGGCACAGATATATATTTCTGCAGAGTCACTTATTACTAACTTAAACTCTGTATTTGTTTAAATCATCTGGCAAAAATTATATTGAAATAGTACAGTAGATGTTTATTCATATATAATCTTTTACTTCATCTTGCAATCTGCTTAACAGCAATAAGAGACAGATCAGATAATATCTACTACTTCTGTCTAAGCTTTACCTATACTTATAGGCACATCACAGTATATACTGTTTAATTTATGTTGGTGTATTGACACTCTGCTGTGTGGTACCTTACACGCTCTGATGTCTATCAGGCTGTAACAATTGCCATATTGCAACATTTGATAGCAATTTTTCCCTGCTACATTGTTTAGTGATCTACCCAACTTTATTCTACAGTCACAGTATTCTCTGCTTAGAGTTTGACATGTAAACTCTCATTATATCTGTCTATTTTGACTGATGTCAATTAATTTAATACGGTTTTAAACTTCACACATTATCTCTCCTTATTCCCTCTGTGTACATTGAGGTCTGTTGAGAGTAATCTTTTGTGTAGCTATCACTATCGTATTTTTCACTATTAAAAGTTATGTTTTAATTACTTTATTCACGGCAGTGTTCCTCCTCTTTTTTCTCTTCATATTCTATTTAGGGTTAACCCCTTCACTGCCCTACCAATTTACCTTATACTAGGCTTCCACTTTGTTCATTTTCTAAAAGTTAAAAATAAATAGGGATCAAATACATAATGGTCATATACCCGGTGTGAGAAAAAAAACAAAACAAAAAAACAGTCAGCCAGGTATGTCCCTAACAGCATTTTTCTTTCAATCTACTATGCACTTAAAAGGGTCACAGTATGCACTGCAACTGCTTCATCTCATTGAAGTTTCTGTTCAGCGTTAAAACAAAAAAAAGTTTTAATTTTGTGGAGCACAAACCAATAGAGTTTGGTGGGATAAAAGGTGATTGAAACCCCCTTCCATCTGAAATCAGTGGATAGTAAATACATTGTTAAACACAGATCTGCACAGACCAATCAAGCAACAAGACTTGCTTTTCCCATAGAAATATCACATTTGCAGTACTCTTACCATTGCAAGGGATTCTGGGTGGGCATATGCAAATGAGGTCAAAGAATCACCTTTAAACATATAAACTATACTATACACCTACTTTTGGGTCACACTGTATATATAATAATATTTGATTCCAACGTTATTTTTTATTATTTCTGTATATAATAAAAAAAAAAAAAAATGTTGTCAATCTTTATTTTCAGGGTTTAAGATTACAGGCTTGTAGGGCCACAACAGCAACAAGCTTTTCATTGAGAAAACATAGAATTGTGGCATGAATGATAATGGCACATTTGTAAGATGAAGACAAGAAAACAAAAAAAATAAGAAAGCAAGGAGAGGATCAGCTAGAGTAGTAAGGTTGAGAGACTCACGGATAATTGTAGCCAGGAACACGGTATGTGTCACAGATAAGAACGCAAATAAAAAGCAATAGGAACAAAAACTGAAGCAAAACAGAATATCAAAAGACTGCTTGCAGGCCAGTCACGGTATTGATGTAGATGAAGAGTCTCAGATAGAGACCCCGACACAAATAGGAAAACCTTCTCAGGGTCCCAGGTTGTTGGTCTCATTGCGAGGAGGGAAGTGGTCGGTTCAGTAAGGGTGGCTGATAACCTAGGCTTCAGCAGTGTGGATGTCATTTCCAAAGCATCAGTGACTTTTCGTGCCATTGTCACGAGCAATCTGCAGGCAACATGGTTGTCCCTATTTTTATTGTAGCTTATCAGCGATTAGCTCCTTAGTGAGTGGCCGCAGGGATCTGCGCCACTCCACAGTGTGTCTGGACAAATCAGGATAGAAGCTCAGAGAGTGGTCTTCAAAGCGTAGTGAAGACTTACTGCGGATCGCCGCCATAACGACAGTCTGTCTTGGTTCTATTGGAATTGGACTACAACATCCCTGCTTGTCTCTAGAGCGCTGGAGGATGGTTTAGGTATCCAGTACCATTGATACAGAGGCATTGCCTTGGCTTGCTTGTCAGAAAAGGAGTGAGTAAGCTTCAGAAGAAAATGTAAAATCTCCACAGTGTGTCTGTTTTCAGGTCCACGCATTTTGATATTCTTCAAGCTCCTCCTGTCCTCCATGGACACCATGTTCTCTTGAGTCTGGCCTAGGGAGCGCTGCACAGTATGCAGACCTTGTTCCAGAGATCCCTTTCTCATGAACTGTATTCACCTCTGTGTTGTGCAGGAGAGCAGAGACCCCATCAATCTCATCATGGAACGGACTGATGACGGCCGTGATATTTCAAGCTCGTCCAAGAGACCCCTCAGAGTCTCTTCAGTGACCGGAGGCTCACCGTAGGCTGGAGTGATGAGTTGTGGTTTCTGCCAACAATGGTCCCCACGCCATGGTCCCCAGTGAAGGATATCTCACTTGACAATCAGGATAAACCGATGGATGGCGACGCAATGACAGACCTCTGGGTAGCCTGCGGCCTCCACAAGAGATCAATATCGGCAATTTCTGTATAATTGCTATATTTCTATTAATTAGGGAATACTGCCCTAACATGGTTAAAGCCCTCCATTTGTATGACGGCATAACATACCAGTCAGAATTAAGGGATTAAGTTAAAGTTGTTTTGTTGCTTATAGTATCCCTTTAAAGGTCGGAATAGATTAAATGGAAAATTCTCTAATTCAGCTATGCTTCCAGATCTTCTACTTTTGCCTTAAATTTTAAATTCACTTTAGTGAATGACCATGTATGTATGTGACACATTAACAAACACATATAATACTTACTCTTGCAAGATTTTGCTGTCTGTTGTTTGAGGATAGCCAAAATCCATTAATTCATCTAACAATTCATATATGATGACAAAATTATCACGGATACTTTCTTCTTCTAGCTCTTTAAAGTATTCAGAAAATACCTGGACCAAAACAAAATAGACATACTAAACTAAAACATGGATTATATATTTTTGGCTTGATGCCATTTGTGCTGTATGAACAAAAACAAGTATTACATTACAAAGTCCTTTTTGGGAAACTCTATGCTAACTTTGACATCAGAGCTTTCCGTACACCATAACCACAACAACCAAGAACACAGACACATTTACACACACTTACACACAGAACACACACACCCACATTTACACACACAGAACACACACACCCACATTTACACACAGAGGACACTGACACACAAAGGACACTGACACGGGGGTGGGGCCTGACCGCAGAGCTGTAAGGACGCTCACCTCAGCAGACCCTGCTGAACGCGGCTTTTAAAACTGACTTTCACTATCAAAATGGCACTAAATCGAGATTAAAAGGCCACCAAACGAGAGAGGAAAACGAGGTGACCAGAATGACACCTTTCAAGCGACGCATTGAGCAATACTCACCCTCAACGATCGTGAGACCTACAAACATGGCAGGCGCAGGGGAGATGGCTCCTCCCCGGCAGCAGCACAGAGCCGGGTATCTGGAAGTAAGCCCTTGTTGCCCCCTCTCTGGACCGGTGGGGATCAACCCGGTCTGCCCCCACATGATCCCCCGGCAAATCGGTGGGACAGTGAAAGGTCCACAGAGCCCCGAGCAATCCGCCACTGTGGTTCCCAAAATGGCGGATGTTCACCACACCGCCGACAGACAACACGTGGCGCGCAACGGAGCTCCAGCTGCACAGCATCTTTACTGCCTTCTGGGTGAAACTGGAAGCCTGCATGAGACCCTTAACACCAGAAAAGCCGCCCAAAACCTTGCCACGGAGCACACCACAAACGGCCAGGCGGGGAGATGTAGCAGCTGCCTCCGCACTCACTACCATAAATGGCCGACACTAGGCCCAGGCGACCTTCATGAGAGCAATGGTAAACGGAGACCGATTCCTGGAACCGTGGGAGTGCCTATGAGACAACCCATACGACGACCTCGTCAAAGGGGTAAAGCCAGCTCGATCCGGCAGGTGCAAGAGCGAGACGAGAGACCCGAGAAAACAACAGTTTCAGGAGGGCCCTTGCAGAGCCGCAACAATCCCTGGCACAGACGGATCAGCCCGGATGGAACCCGCAGACCACATGGGACACCGCTCCTTAAGAGAAGAACCCTTTGACACCACTCAACCCCGCAGAAGTCCTCAACTCAACACAAGCAGTGGAATCCCTATAGAAGGCCCAGTGAACAAGTGAAGTCTTGCCTGCAACCACACGATGGAGTAGTGGGACCAGAGTGGGGAACAACCATCTTATCTGGGACAGGTGGGGTAATATGGAGCAGGATTCTTGTAATTTTTCTCACTATGCAACTAGGCATGCAGAGGAGGGCATAGGTTGAACAGTGCATTAACCATAGATGGCACGGCACAGGCAGAGATGTGGCTTACCAACCTATTTATAGTATACTTGCCTGCCCAGGGGTAATCATCCTCCCTCTATTAAGCAAAGTTAGACAATAGTAACCTACTGTAGAAAAGCAGTTACTTAGCCTGTTTAACTCATGACAAGTTATATTTACTTATTTCTCGTTTTGCTTTTTTGTTTTCGTACTTTTACACGAAACAAAAAAGCAAACTTAGTTAAGCCTGTGACCCTATAATTTTACAAAAGTCATGATAACCCGAAACAGTATTTTGTCTGCCTTATCTTATAACTAACATGTTGATCTTATCTTTGATGAATCTACATAATAATATATAAAAAGTGCAATGTTCTGATATGCCAAACATGTCTTTAAATATTAACCTAAAAGCTGGCAATAGCTGTTGTGGCATCGCTTGCCTGTTTGTATTTCTTTCGTGCACGAAGAATTAAGAGAGAGAAAGAAGAAGAAAAAAAAAAAAAGGACACTGACATACATTTACACACAAAGGACACTGACACATACATTTACAAACAGAGGACACTGACGCACATTTACACACACACACACACTTACACACAGAAGACACTGACACAAAAGTATAGCTATGACACCGCCTCTATTTTGCACTAACTGGCCACCACTTGGCATACCCCTCACTTTGGTACACATACCCCCTAGGGTACACGTACCATGGGTTGAGAAACTAGGGATTAAAGGGAAAGTGTAGGAGGTCTTTGGGGACACCCTCACCTAAATTGTAATCTCATAAGTACAGTATTGTTCCGTTTGTTCCTATTAACCGTATTTTAAGATCACCAAATAGATGCTTACTACCCATCACTACAGGTTCTGTTGAATTATCCCAACTATATTTAAAACGGTTTTGTATATACCTGACTCTCAAATTCCTTCATCATTGCTGGCTTATCTATACTGCTTTGGCAATGCCCAATAAGTTTTGTTTTTTTTAAAGTTGCAGTTTAATGGTAATGTTTGTTTAATGACACTTATCTTCTACAGTTTTAGAATTTATTGCTTCATATACCATCAAGAGCCAATTGTGCAGAAATCGCAAATAATTAGATAAATCGAAAATACCAAAGCAAGTATACAAAATTTGAATTAAATTAAAAAATTCTAAATTAAAAAAAAAACACACAAAAAAAAAAAAAAACAAGCTGTGTGACTTAATAATGGTCATGTTTGCCATTTCTCAAGATTTCATGCTTCACTTGAAGTAGTATATGCATTCTATATTTTGGTCTAATTTATTAGTTCTCAACGCAACACAAATGTTTAGTCAACACACCAAAATAAAGTTTATTACTATTAATAATCAATACTGTGTGCACCGTAAAAAAAAAAAAAAAAATTTAAAAAAGTTATAGATAGTATGTTAAATATTAATTAACACCGAATAAAAGCAAAAAGTGCAGGGTGAGAAAATGTATTTGAGTTTTAAAAAAACGGTCTAAAAAAATAGAGTAAAACAAAGGAATAAGTGTTGTGTTAAGAACTTGAAATAATTCCTTTGTTGAAACAAAGAATGTCTAATTTAACTGTGTCTGATGATCACAAAAAGTATAAATTGGTATAAAGAATGACTGTGCATGTTAAATACCCACATGTGTGTAGTAAGCTTTTAAGAGTCTTAACTAAAGAGTGGCTAATATATTACACATTCCACATAGATTATATCAAAGATGTGAATTTACATACCTGGACCACTTTGTAAAGAAAAGAGAAGACCAAAGACACACATGCATTCTTCTTGGATGTTGCCACAACTAATATCTTTTTAAGGCAAATTCAAACTGATGAATACAGCATGTACAGATAAATTACAGAGAGTTTTACAGCAAATGGAATAAAGATATAAATCTAAAATATGGTAATTACACCTATCTATGCGTTTGCAGTGCAAGAAGATCTGAAGGCTTATAAACATTAGTCGAATTGCCTATTGCACATAATGTGAAGACACACTAAACTGTACTTTTAATATTGGGCATGAGTTCTGGGGGAGTTAACAAAATTATTTTAGCCACATTGAGGTAGCAGTGATATTCTTATAACATACAATTGGTATAATTCAATGAAAAATAGGGCACGCGGTATACATTTTATGTAAAATACCACCTATCTCTGTGGGTATTAGTGTTAGGCTGTCAGTAACTTTGGCAAATGAATCACTTCGCATGGCTGCATGGAGTGACCCAATCAAAAAATAAAGGTAATATGAGATGCATATCAAAATACTGCAAGTGATTCTACTCTGGGCATTTTTTTCACAGCTTCAGGTTTAAAAGAGGTGCAGTGGTCTGTTAATGTGTACATATCTCCTATCCAGCAGATAGCTACTAGATGTATGGTGGGGAAAATCCTTTATTGTAAAGCAAAAAATAGATATGCGTCCATGTGCCATAATGCACATAAATAGGGTAAAACACAGACAGATATCATTCATACCTTATTTCTGGAAAATAATGAACTCTAATGAAAAGGCATTTGTTGTTTTACATTTAAACACAATGTAAAAATCCACACCTGTAACTGGGAGCTTCCATTAATCATTGTTACAAATTTTGCCCTTTGAATCTGACAGTTAGCACAAAGAAAGCATAGAAGAAAAGGAGAAATGACACAATGTTTTTACTTTTCCTCTTCAATTGGAAATTTCACCTTGCTTGACCCAGATTAGAATGTCGATTATGAAATCTTTACTATAAAGATGTATCTCATGAAAAACTAGATTAACACAAATTATAGTTGCTTTTCAATGTTGTATTTAATTGTAAAAAATTCCAGAGAATTAACAGTTCCCCTTTAAGGAGGATTAGGATATCTGTGCAGATGAATTAAAAATGTGTGGAATACCTGCATGTAAATGACTGCCTCCTCCTCAGTTTCTCAACAAATCACGCACACATCCATATTTTGCAGTCATTTAGTAAAATAAACCAAACCCAACTGGACACCAAATTGGGTGCTTGGTATACAAAGACAGGGCTCAAAATGTACTACATTTACTGCAAGTCCTACATGCCAATGCAAACCAGAAAGGTCCATGGCACACTCACGCTGAGGGGATTTTTATTTATCAGGACTGAATTTTCACTCATCAATGGCTAGTAGGTAAGTGAAAATTTTGAGGTCTGCAATAAACACCACTTAAACATTGGTCTTTCAAACCACTTCCTGTCATTGGTAAAGGTGTGAAGCTTTAGTGGAATGAAAACTTAAGAGTTACGGTAACTGTTCAATGCATAATAAAACAGATAGGATACGATATAGGTTATTGTGCTTAATCCACATGAAACGGACTCCTCCGTGGGCAAGAATGGGTGATAGTGCCCCTTCTTCCTCTTTCTCCATTAAGATTGGCATGAAGTGCTCTACCTCTGACATATCAACATCTCCTCGGTAGTTACGGCAAATAAGAACCTTAATAGAAAATGAGAGAAAAAAATAAATTGCATTTTAATGGTTATAGTCTTGGGAAACTACTCTACTTTTGTTCTAGAAATCTGTGTAAATTAGAAAGAGTAGAAAGATACTGGTTACGTTCATTTTCCACTATTAATTGTCAGGCTATAAAATGTACAATATATTTTCCCCAAAAACCACTAATTTTAATAAAAGCTTAGTCAGTAAGCATTACCAATAACGAACTTTACATGCAGAGTGTAAAATAAAAAAAGATTATTTTTCACAGCTGAGCATGTCTCAAATTAAATTTTGCACACACCTGCTAATAGAAACTATCAGAACAGACAAATGGGTTTGCTCTTTAATATCAATTGGAATCCATTTCCGTAAATTTTTCTTGTAGATTGTAAGCTCATTTGAGCAGGGCCTTCTTCACCTCTGGCCTCTTATCTTGTAGGTCAACTACTCATCTCATTCTACGAGTGTAATGTGCTGCAAAATATGTTGGCGTTATAGAAATAATAAATGCACAAGGTCAGATGGGGATTATACCATTATCCAACACAAAACGTTCCTTTGCCAATGGCTAATGGAGGAAGAATTTTGCAATAAGGGTGTTTTAAACAGACTTCATGTGGCATATACTCTTTTCTTTACTTGTTTTGTATGTATTGGGGCTGATGTGCGCTATGGTTGTTGCTGCCGCCCATGAGTAGTGGGAGTTTGAGCGCAGGACTTATTTTTGTGTATTTGTATTCACTTTTGCATCACACAGTCATGTTACAATGCTGCCACCCATTCCATGTATTCCTTATTAAGGGTTTATAAATATGTAGCGGTTTAGAAAAATAGCCCTCTCTGTCTCAGAGATTTCTTTGCCTGAAGCTCAATGAATAGAGGGGAATTGTTTGTGTAGAACCCACTTAAGAGGTTTGCCTTGATGTGGCAGGTGGGCTTACATCTAATGGTCATTGGAGTTACTAAATAACCACAATTTATTTAAATATACATAGAGAGTTGGGCTAGTGCGTAAGTAACTTTTTTGTCTTTGCTTGTTTTCTTGTGGCATATAAATTACTTGTTTTCCCTTCTATTACACATTTTGTAAATAATACTTTTGCTAATAACACTGGGAAAAAAAAATAATAATGTGTTATTCCACTCTATTAAACAATAACAGCGCAGATAAAAGCCACTGCAATTTACCTCTAAAACTAAGCAGAACAGGAAACATCCGTTTTTATTTTTATACACTCCAAACTTGTGAGAACAAGAAAATACAATATTTTGTTCCTAAAAACAGTTATTAAATATACATGTGTGGCTGACGTAGTTAAAAAAAAAAAAAAATATGACTGACATTGAGGAAATTATTATTTTGAGGAAATCATACAAAATGTTAAATCTTACGAGACCACTGCAATTCTTTAGCATTATAAGGAACAGGAAGTGTGACTGTGTTCCTCAGAACATGCTCGTTTATGGATACCTTTTTATTGTATTTTATTATTCTTTGTCAGAGATTGCTACAGCCAATGTTTTTAACAAGCCTAACTTTTAGTAACTGTGACAGTGATCTTACCTTATGTGACCATTTTTTATTTTAATTATGTACATGGGAGGCAATAGTTTAGTGAGGGGAAACAAATACAATCTTTGTCTATTACTGGAAAGGGAGCAGAGCAGGTAGCATATCCACACACATTACAAAACAGCCAGCACCCACCATCACATCTGTATACAGTAGAGACAAACAAACCACACATGGACAACAAACGCACACAACAAACATTGCACACATTGGATGGTGGAGCTGGATTGTGAATGTGTAAAATCTTCGCAAATAAAATCCAAACCCCCCCCCCCTCCCCCCCCAAAATAAGATTTTTTTGATAGCTTTTCTGCCTCAGTTGTTCCACATGGATTTGGTTTGTGAAAATTTGTAGTTTAGTTAAAAATAAATAAATAAAAATGGTCAATGGCCAGGGCTCCAAGCAGGCTCACAATCTGAAATTATTTTGCGTGTTAGCACAAATTGATTGTCATGACAGACAAGTAGATTAGACAACCAACTTAACTCCCAAGCCGCCCACCCACCTCCCAAAAAAAAACCAAAAAACAAAAAAGCACTGCAAATTAATTATTCACATAGGTAGAGGATATGCTGGCACATTGTAAAAACAACATTGAAAGTGGAGTTGATATAAGTGAAGTTAATAATTGTTTTGTAAGTCGATACAGAAGTATTTCACAAGAAACTCACTTCAATAATGAATTGTTCTGCTGTCACCTAGTCACATAATCTGCATTCAAAACAAATTGCCTCTTAACAGCGTATGAAGTATTTAATGAATGGAATGAGGACAATCACCCTTTCTCCTTCTCCTTCAGATAGCATTAAAGGGACACTACAGTCACCAAAAAAAAAACCATAAACCTCAATGGTTAACGTTTTGGTGTCTATAGTGAGTACCTGCAAGCATTTAATGTAAACACTGCCTTTTCAGAGAAAAGGCAGTGTTTACATTACTGCCGAGGGACATCTCCAGTGGTAGTCAGACAATCACTAGATATGCTTCCTAGGTCAGTGATGCACAAAGTTCAGCACCTGCACACTGAACATTCCCCCATACTGATGCACTAATTCAATGCATCTCTTTGAGGAGATGCTGATTGAACAGCATCCTATGGAAAAGCATTGGATTGGCAGAGATTGTCAATTTGTATTTCAGCCAAGGGGGCAGATCGGGCAGAGCAAACGCTGGCAGACCCACACAGCGCTGGAATAAAGGTGAGTAACCTTTTACAATGGTTACAGGAGAGCTAAACAGGGATATTGCAGCTATAGATGTTTGTATTCCTGTCACTATAGTGTTCCTTTAAAATGAAGCCTCGGTCTGTGCTGTCAACCCTCCATACCCTTTCACTTATAATTGTTGCTAGAGCCCTACTTCCCTCCATGCAGACCTCCATTTCCCACATCACTGCTATCCATCCATGCCCTTTCACTTACAATTGAAAAGAAGAAGAAGAAAAAAAAAAAAAAAACACAACTTTAAAACTACTATGCATACCAAATAAGTTTTTAGTCAAGAGGGCCATAGCATCTCTTTAATGGGATCCTCAGTTCCAGTGTCTAGGATGCAATACTATTGCAATGCATGGTTTACATGAGATGCAGCATAGCTGTTTATTAGGGACATTTTGCACAGCTCCCTCAGTCTCTACCACAATCTTAAAATTAGTCTTAAAATTGTGTAATATATGCCTGGGAGTAATTGCCTATAGGGGAGCCGAACAGCTCCTATTTATAATGGCAGCCAGTGTTTATGTTCTAAGAGTTGTCATGGAATAGACAATAACAATTTTAGAACAAGAAGAGGCCTAAATCACCACTTATTTTAGGAATGCATAATAAAAGGTTTTAATGGAAGATGGTGAAAAGGCAGGAAAATGTACGCCCGTATCTTGTGGAGCTGGCCAAAATTATTCTCTTACTTTCTACATGTTTTGGCAGCTTTACAATCTATTGCAGGATTATAGAATACTTCACTACTTGCTGACTTACCAAAGTCAAGATTAAACTAATCTTGACATTTGGAAATTAAAGAAATTATGCGACATTCAGCTGTTCTTACCCACAAGATAACATTATCACTAGTGATGTGACTAATGTTCTGTCTCATTTTTCTTTTTTTCCTATTCCGTGACCTGGGCAAAATATAAGTGATGCTAGATAACAATATTAAGAAAGATTTGTTTTCATTTTTGCTACGTTTGTATACCACAGTCCTCTAAAACAATTAGCTCTGTGATTTATTTGCCTACAGTATTGCTTTTATCTTAGCAATAGAATATATATATATATATATATATATATATATATATATATCTCCAAACAGGTTATGGTGGTGAAAAATTGTGATTGAAAACCCCTTCCACCTGAAGTCTGTGGATTATTACTACAATGTTAAACAAAAATCTGCACACCAGTCAAGCATGTGATTCTTTGTTAAACTAATTTGCATATGCCCACCCAGAATCCTTTGCGGTTGTAACATCGCTGCAGTTATGGGATTTCTGTGGGAAAAGCAAGTCTTATGGCTTGACTGGTGTGCAGATTTTATTAAGACACGGAGGCTCCTATTATGCTGCACTCTTTTTTTATTTACCTCAGCAGCAAAGAAAAATAACATTAAATCAGTATAAAAGAAACCAGTAAATAACATGAGAGGTATATCTTCATAGCAACAGGAACAGCCAATCAGCATCCTCTTTATGGCATAATAGGCAGTGTCCAGTATACTACTTCCTCTTTCTTTGCTGCTCCCTCAGTTAAGTGACACTGGGTCCCATGGTTCTTAACTGTGGAATCTTCTTTATTCATATCATTACTGCGGGTAATATAGTTATTGTAGTTTTTACATTTCAGTTATAATATTTTCATATTTATAAATATATTTAATTACTTCATTTTAACTTAATTTGATTTATTTACTTCATTTGCTTCAGTTATATGCTTTATTGTATATCATTTTATTATTATGATTATTTATAGAACGCCGTCAAATTCCTTAGCGCTTTACAATGGGTGGACGAACAGACATGTAGTTGTAACCAGACACACAGGAAGAGGGGTTGAGGGCCCTGCTCAATGAGCTTACATGCTAGAGGGAGTGGGGTAAAATGACACAAAAAGGTAAGGATAGTATTAGACTAGTGACAGTTGCAGAAGAGGAATCAGTCAGGAGCTATTAACAGTTTAATTGATACGCTTTTATGAAGAAGTGGGTTTTTAACGATTTTTGAAGGAGTGGAGACTGGGTGAGCATCTAACGGAGGAGGGAAGCGAGTTCCACAGGAACGGTGCAGCCCTCGAGAAATCTTGAAGGCGAGCATCAGAGGTGGGAGTACAGACAGAAGATAGACGTACGTCTTCAGCAGATTTTAAGGGCCTAGACGGGACATTCTTGTGTATATGGGAGGATAGATAGGTGGGAGCAGCATTATGTAGAGATATGAAAGCAAGAACCAAATTTTTTTTCCCTTCTGACCTCCCTGGCCCCAAGATTACCATCAATTGGGGCTCAGGGACGTCTTTGAGGATCTTTATCCCCTGCACAGTGCTATTGGGCTGTTTTTACCCTTCATTTATCTGTCTGGCCGCTGCTCTGCCCCCAACTGTCAGAAATCCAAGTCGGGTATTAGTTATAGTGGCAGCCGGGCAGCTCCTGTGTTTTTATATTACTATTGCTATTTTTTCACTATTGTGAGTACTTTCATTTCTTTATCCTGTTTAGTTATTTATTTGTACTTGAGGGTTACTCAACCCTTTTCTTTTGGTATTATTTTACTTTATTCATCCCCTTAGGTTTGTTTGTATATTTATGATGCAGTCGGACAGGATCTTTCTGTGCCTTCTGGGTCTAGAGCAAACATGCTCTAGAAGCCTCTCCAGGTATCTCTGGAGATGAGGCTGATTTTCTGCTTTACTGATCCTGCTGACATGCAGGCTTTAACTGACACTTCCATGGCAAAAGAGAAGGCCCTGGTGTCAGTGATGGGGGTTATGTCTGATTCACTTCACAGATATTTGCCCAGACCCTGTTACAGGCACAGAGATCGGCTCAGGCGGCGGTACCTGTACTCACACCAGCTCTGCTTCAGCCTGGCTAAACACTCCTCCAAAACAATAGAGATGGACAGTACCATAGTTGTCACGGATGGCGCGATTAATTTACCACCGCGAAAAAGAGCTACTAGTCGGGCAAAATCGACTAGACTTTGGAAAAGGGCAAAGGCCCAATTGAACTCTGAATCTGAGGTCAGTTATATTGAGGAGGAGTTCCCCGAGTTCTATATGGAGGTGTACCTGTACTCACACCTTCTCTGCTTCAACCTGGCCGCAAGGCCTTATATAAGGCTAAACACTCCTCCAAAACAATAGAGATAGACAGTACCATACCTGTCACGGGATGGCGCAATTAATTTACCACCGCGCAAAAGAGCTACTAGTCGGGCAAAATCGACTAGACTTTGGAAAAGGGCAAAGGCCCAATTGAACTCTGAATCTGAGGTCAGTGATATTGAGAAAGAGTTCCCTGAGTACTATATGGAGGATTCAGAGGATATTTCTGATCCTGATTATGAAATTACTGATGAAGAGGATGCTAATCCCGTTTCGGGATACACGTCCTGTTAAATCTACCAAAATTGATGTAGATTATGCGGACACCGATAGGATCTTGGACACTCAATGTGAAACCCTATTCGAACTGGATGACCTATGTAACCCAGTGGTCTCCTCAGACCATGTAGCCATATATATTGCATCCAGAGTACGCAAGCCTTTTGAGAAGGCAAAGTGAAATAAATTGTGGGCTGAATGGCCACACCGAACAGTCCCTGATGACTCATGTAAAACGCTATCAGTTGATCCTAAGAGCATTCACTTCCTGTGTAAGACAGGATGGAAGCCCACTAAAGGCTTAGATTTTCATTGCAAAACGGTCAGGATAAAATCCTGGACATCTTGGGCTCAGCAGCCAAGATCTTTGAAGCAGTAGAGGATGACCTAGAATTAGATAGCACCATCTTAAGTGGTTAGATCCAGAGAGTGATTTAAGTTGGCAACGCCAACAATGCGGTTGTCACAGAACGCCGCAAATCGATCTTGCTCAAGATTGAGCCCAAACGTGTAACTATGGCTCTGAACGAGCCAGATAACACAGGCAAAAGGTTCTCTCTTTGGGGACAACTTTGTAAAAGAATTGGGCTCCTTTGTCCAGCTAAACAAACAGTAGTTCTTTTAGACAGAACCAAGGCTCTTATATTGGCCGAGCCGATTTCTTTGAACAATGCACTATACCAACCTCTTTCCCACGACGTGGTCGACCGTAGGTTGTTAGTGGCCTAAGAGGAGGTCCTAAGAAGTCTTCACAATTTCCATTCTTCCTTACTGATAGTGGTGGCAAGCTCACACATTTTTCCTATGTATGGTCCCTCATTTTATCAGATGCTTAGGTTCTTCACACTGTGAAAGGGTATTGCATAGACTTCCTTTCTCTACCTGTTCAATGTTCCCCATCGAGGGAAATTGTTTTTTCCCAATGAGACGCAGACTGTATCTCCGTGGACAATCCTTCGTAGAGATTCCAGCCCATACCCTGGGTTACGAGAGCAACCTTTTCTTGTTTCCCAAAAAAGGCGAAGGTATCCGTTCAGTGATAAATTTGAGACAGCTCAATGGTTATGAGCATATCAGCACTTCCAAGATGGAAGGAGGGCATTGCTTAAGGGATCTTCTCCAACCAGCAGATTGGATGCATATCTCATAGTACAACATCAAGATCAAGAACTTCCTGCAATTTACATGGTAGAGCAGTAAATGGAGGTTCAGGTGCCTCCCATTCGGACTGTCTTTGGCTCCATGGTGCTTCACCAATCTCACAAACCCAATGGTCGCCCTGCTACGGGAGTCGGGGAGTACGTCTTATAATATATTTAGACGCCATTTTTTTATTCTGGCTCAGTCTATTCAATTAATCCGGACATACCTTGCATGGACTTTGACTGTTAGAGAACCTAGGCTTCCTGATCAATTGGGAGAAATCCATTATCGTTCCCACGCAAGAAATAAAATTTCTGGGTTATATTGGATTATTGTAGATGCTACCCTTCAAACTCTACACCTTCCGGTGGCAAAATTAGCCAATATCAAGAAGGAGACAGGCGAACACTAGCAACCCCTCAACTCTCTCTCAAACAACTGCTGAGAATGTTAGGCCTTCTGGCAGCATCTATACAGGCCATTTTTCCAGGTCTTCTTGGCTGTAGAGCCCTACACATACACAGATATGGTAACTCTGGACTCAGAAGTGAAGGATGAACTTCAATGGTGGCTTCTTCACATGGAAGCTTGGAATGAGCGCACCAGATTTTGTACAGCTCCAGATTTGATCATCAAATCAGACGCAAGTTTGCACGGTTGGGGTGCTCAATGCGTAAATATTTCCACCAAAGGCAGATGATCAAACCTGAAATCGACACTCCACATCAATTGTTTGGAACATCTGGCCAGTTCCTTTGCAGTCCGCAGTTTCTCCCAAACTCAATGCGCTATCTTTCTGAAGATGGTCAACGTGTCAGCTGTCCGCTACATCAATCACTTGGAGGCACAAGATACAAAATTCTGACCTACATGGCTCGCAATTTCTGGCAATTTTGCCTGATACACAGCATTTCATTAACAGCAGCATATATTCAAGGTCTCTCCAACACTACGGCGGACTGGTATTCACACCAACTCAGAGATTCCAGTGACTGGCACTTGGATTCCACGGTCTTCCAAGACATTTGGAACCTATGGGGTTTATTGGAAATAGATCTTTTCGTTTCTTGTTTGAACGCTCAACTTCCCCGTTTTTTCAGTTGGAGACCAGATCCGACAGCACTGACTATGAATGTTTTCTCCAAGGAATTACGATTTTCTGCCCTTTGCACTGATTCCCTGTTGCCTTTCCCTCTACATCGCCAGTCCGGCACCTGGTGATCGTGGCTCCTCTATCGCCGTCCCAACCGTAGTTCTCTCCTCTTCAGGAGATTTAATCGACCTTCCATCTCGAGTGCCTTCTTCAGGATCCAGACGGTGTGCCTCATCCCCTTGTTCTCTAAGTTCTCTTGCATATCATGATGTAGTCTATTTCAGGTAACCTTGGTCGGTCGAGGGAGTTTCGCAACCAACTCTCTAACTTATCAAAGGTGCACCAAACACGAGAGAGGCTTATAAATCTGCTTGGAGTAGATGGCATAGTTGGTGCATGAAATGAAATTTAAATCCCATATCGGCTCCTTTTAAGTCTGTCCTCCATTTTTCTGACCTCTATGATGAAGGTAAAGCCTATCGCACTGTGGACCTTACCGATCGTCCATTTCTGCTGACTTCTCTGAGGAATATGGTTTGCTCATCCACTCTTACCATGATACTCTGTCTTGTGGGACGTCTCTATTGTCGTGAATTTTTTTTCTTGCAAGAGGTTTTTCTGATGTAAGAGCTCTTGAGGTGGTTGCTCGTTCCTTTACTCCAGGTGTTCTCTTTGATATTTCTCAGAGGACAAAAACCTCCTCTAAATCAATTCTACTCAGTTTTTTCTAATAGATCTCTCCTTTGCCCTGTTGCATACTTCCATCCACTACGTTACGGAATCCTTTGAAATAGGAACTCTTCATCTCCTTTCAAAAGTCGCGTCTTCCGGTATCTACTCTAGCCTGGTGGGTAAAATACATTATGTCTCTAGCAGGTATTGATACCTATCTGTCTGTGCCTCATTCGGTTTGTGGGGCAATGGCTTCTTCGGCTTCCTCGATTGGTTGTCGCTTGGAGGATATGAGAGCGGTTGGTCTTCGGAGTCTACATTCCATGATTTCTACTTTAGACCTATTCAACACTTCACAGGAGACATAATTTCACAGCTCCGTGTCTTAATAAAATTTACAGATTTTACTATTAACATGACGTTAAGTCATGATTTTATTAATGACACGGAGGCGAGTATTATCCCTCCCTCCCATCCCTGGAGGTTTGGTCTTCTCTTGGTAAGTTGACTTCACGGTAAGTCTTTTTTGATTACTGGGTTTTATCCTTGTTAATGACTGTCAAGAGCTTAAGGTTTGACTAAACTGAATTTCATGTTATGTGTATATATAATATCTGATATTCCATGTAATGCAATCTTATGCATAAATCCAGTTTTATACTTGGATATAACCATATTCTCCTTTAGCTTCTAGCTTGACTTCAAGATCCAGGTTAGGGCTCGCACACCCTCTTACTGGAGCCCACTTTTCATTTGGATTTGTTGTCCTTGTTCGGGATCGCAAGAAAGAGGAAGTAGTATACTGGACACTGCCTATTATGCTATAAAGAGGATGCTGATTGGCTGTTCCTGTTGCTAGGAAGATATACCTCTCATGTTATTTACTGGTTTCTTTTATACTGATTTAATGTTATTTTTCTTTGCTGCTGAGGTAAATAAAGAAAGAGTGCAGCATAATAGGAACCTCCTGGTCATTAATAAAATCCTGACTTTACGTCATGTTAATAGTAAAATCTGTACATTTTTGTTTAACACATTATATATATATATATATATATATATATATATATATATATATATATATATATATATATATATATAGTTTTGCAGCCTTGTTCTTTGTGTAAGAGACTAATTGTTTCAGTGGTAACTTCCAAATAATACTGCCAATCGTAGCAGATTATATACTCCTCTATATTGCACTGCCAATGAAGCTGTAAATAATGTTTGCTTGTGCGTTACAGGTATGTGAAGCATTGTAAGCAAATGTGACCTTTAGACATGGAGCCTCTGAAACAGATGACCAAGTAATTTTTTTAGGAGAAGGAAGGTAAGAGTCTCAAAAATAAAAAAAAAAGGGGGAAGGGGAGAGAAAAGAAAGAAAAAGAGGAAATAGTTTGTAGAAGAGTTTGAATGTATTTGTCTTTCCTGTTTCATAGCTGTTTTTGTGTCTTGATGCAGCTTGTATGAATTGGCAAAAAGTATAAATTTTAACACCCTCACTGATGAGCAATGGCATCCCACGTGGGGAACTTCAAATGTCCAGTTTACTTTGTTCTATGTTATTGCAAATATTATAGATTTTAAAAACAAAAATGTTTTTTTTTTTGGTATAAACACTTTGTTTCATGAATGCCTCATTTCAACGCATTATCTGAGAAGACAAAATGTGTTTTCATTAATTTTTAAAGGAATGCATCTAAATAAAAGTGGCAGGACTGATTTTAAAAATGGGTAGATATTTTGCTTGGGTGAAAGAAATGAAATCAATTATTGGTTAGGACAGTGGTTCCCAAATGGTGTGCCACAGCGCCCTGGGGTGACAGGTATACAGGGGTGTCGTGAAAAAACCCATCGTGTGGCCCATTCAACCGTTTTACGGCTCATCAGGGGCCCATTCGGCACCGGGTCCCTGTGATATCTGCATGCTGGGAAGAAATGACAGCGTGTTATTTCCTCCCAGCTTTACAGAGCATCGCGCAGGAGGGAGCAGAAGGCTGGAGGAGAAGGCTGAAGGCAGCAGTCAAGCTGCAAGTAGGCAGAGGTGAGCCTGTAGTGAGCTGCTGCAAGCTCACTCCCATCAACCTCAGCCAGGACCCAAGTAAGCTAGCTTCTGGACACAAGGTAAGCCAACAGGAGGGGGGCTGGAAATATAAAAATTATAACTTGTATGTGTTTGTATCTGGGTCATGGTGTGTGTGTGTTTGTATGTGTCTATGTGAATCCACATTTAAAAGCTAACATTACATCCAAACACCCCCCTGAAATCAAACGCAATCATTACATACAAACAAACCCCTGCATTAAAACACTAAAATGATATACATGCACCTCTTTGTTTAAACACAATATATTATGCTATACCAGCAGTATATGCAGCGGCGCTATATAGATATACAACCTAGAACTTTGTTTTGCCTTGGGGCACCTTGTAAAAATATTGCAATATTAAGGTCGCCTTAAACCTAAAAGTTTGGGATCCACTGGGTTTGGATATGTTGATATATTGATGAAGAAGAACAGCTGTTAGAGCAAATTCGAAAAACGGCAAATCTTGGTAACATTAATTATTGGAGACTTTAACAACCCAGTAATTAATTGGGATAGAGGGGCTAGTAGTTCAGCAAGAGTAATCAGGTTTTTGAACCTATGAAAAGACACCTTCAGGTCACAATTGGTAAAACACCAACTAGAAAGGAAGCTTGTCTGGATCTGGTTGTAACAAACAATGTTGAGCTTTTGTCAAGCAGTTGAGGGCACTTGGGAAATAGCAATCACAATATGGTGACCTTTAAAATAAACTAAAAAAAGCTAAAGCACATGAGGTATACAAATGCATTTAATTTTAAAAAGGCCAATTTCAATAAGATAAAAGGCAGCTTTACAACATATTGACTGAAATAAACTCTTTATTAAAAAAAGAAAAATACAATGGATAAATGGGATATCTTTTAACAAATTCTAAAAATGACACTTCCTACCAAATAAACTTCTTAGTATTTACCATAGAGTAATAAATATAAAAGAAAAGTGAAACCAACATGGCTTATTGGGAATGTAAGGCTATAAATAAAAAAAATAAGTAAAGGGAATTTAAAGCAGAAAAATCAGAGGCATCTTTTATAAGATTTAAGGAAGCCAATAATGCAAGCAAAAGGGCAATTAGATGGGCTAAACTAGAAAATCAGAGCCAAAGAGAGCAAAGCTATAAAAAGTAAAAAAAAAAAAATTTAAAAGAATGAGTAGTTACACTAAAATCAGAGATGGGTGTGTTAGTAAACGAAGATCAGGATAATATTCAGTACAGTTGTAATCAAAATTATTCAAACGCCTCTACAAATCAGGTTTATTGTCAAAATTTACAGACTTTCAGATGTTTGCAATGAACAATTCATATAAAAACAATGGAAATAGATAAAAAATAAAATAAAAAAAATGCTTCAAGTGGTTTCTCCAAATTCAACCAACATTATTCAACCCCTTAATGGGAAGCATCTTTAGTACTTTGTAGAGTACCCTTTCGCTGTTATGACCTGCTGCAAATGAGCTGCACAGCCAGATACCAGCTTCTGGCATCGTTCCAGAGGACTCTTAGCCCATTGCTCATGAGCAATGGCCTCCTGTTCAGTAATATTCTTGGGTTTGCACACTGCAACCGCCTTCTTGAAATTCCACCAGAAATTTTCTATGAGGTTCAAGGCAGGTGACTGGTGGCCACTAGAATTTTCCAGAGCTACTACTACAACCAAGCCTTGGTGAAATTTAAGATATGCTTTGGATCATTGTCTTTTTGGAAGGTCAAATGACGCCCAAGCTTCCTCACAAACGGCATGATGTTTTTGCCTAGGATTTCCTGATACTTCAATGAATCCATCTTGCCTTCCACACATTGCAGGTTTCCAGTGCCAGAATATGCAAAGCAGCCCCAGAGCATCAACAAGCCACCATCATGCTTACCTGTAGGCAAAGTGCTCTTTTCAGCGTATGCTTCATTCTTTTTCCTCCAGACATACCGCTGATCCATTAGGTCAAAAAGTTACAGTTTTGTTTCATCGCTCCACAGAACAGAATCCCAAAACGTCTGTTGCTTATTTACATGATTTTGAGCTTATTGGAGCCAACTTTTCTTGGTTTTTTTTGGGTCACTTGTTGTGTACGTATTGGAGTTCTGGCATGGAAACTTTCTGCATTTAGTATGTGCCTTACTGTGCTCACTGAAACCACAGTGCTTGTTGCCACCAAGTGTTGCAGCAGGTCTTTTGAGGTCACTCAACTTGCCTTCTCAGAAATCTGCTTGCAACCATTGACAACTTAATTTTTCTGCCCAGTCCTGGTAGTGTAACCACTCTTTCTTCAACGTTTTGTCACTAGGAACATTCAGTGCCTTTGCTATATTTTTGTATCCTGTCCCTTGTTTGTGAAGGATGATGATCTCTTCTATTAACTTTGTGGACTATTATTTTGCCATATTCTAAAACAAGGCTCGACAAATCCCAGGCGCCAGGTCGCCATGGCGACCAGAAATTTCTCCCTGGTGCCTGGGTTTTGCCAGCTCTCTAGTTAGTGTGGCCTGCCGAGGGAGCTTTGACAGCGGCCGTCACGTGCAACATTAAAGGTGGGTAGACGCCCTTAAGAGCATGGAGGCAGGCAGCCGCCCACAGGAGCATTGTGGGCGGCGCAAGAGGGAGCAGTACTCTGCCTGCAGCTGCTCTCTGGCGCTGTCTAATGATGTCGGGAGCCGGATTATGACATAATTCCGGCCCCTGCATCATTACAGAGCGCGAGGGAGCAAAGAGGAGCTACAGGCAGAGTACTGCTCCCTCGCACACAGGAGGAGAGCAGCCCCAGGGAAAGACCCACTCAGCTCTCCCAAAGGTAGGGAGGCTGAGTGGGTTTCAATTAAAACAGAAATGTAAGTGTGTGTGCCTGTGATACTCTGTCAGTGTGTCAGAGAGCCTATCAGAGTGAGTGTGTGTGTGTGTGTGTGTGTGTCTGTGTATCCATGTGAGCCTGTTGAGAGTGTAAGAATGTGTGAGAACCTATCAAGAGTGTGTGCGCGCGCGTTTAGACATCTGCCCCCTCCGACTGCATGAGGAAGGTGTTTTTACTCACTTTTCCCCCCCATTTTCTCATCCCGTGGCAGTTTCGCCATGGCTGGTACCATCAATCTTTGGGATCTCAGCTAAGCCAATGCTTTCCATTGGGAGGATTTTATGCATGCGCAACAAATGTACCAATCTGCATCTCCTCATAGAGATGCATTAAATTAATGAATCTCTATGAGGAACATTCAGCATCTCCACGCAGAGCTTGGAGACACTGAACCTGGTGCAGCAGTGACTCAGGACTCTCTAGTGGCCGTCCGAGTGACTGTCACTAGAGGTGGTACTAAGCAGCAATGTAAACAATGCGTTTTCGCAGAAAAGGCAGTGATTACACTGAAAAGCTTGCAGGGACAGGCTAGAGACACCAGAATAACTACATCAAGCTGTAGTGGTTCTGGTGACTATAGGGTCCCTTTAAGGATTGCATTTTCTCATTGAAAATGACTGGCTCCTAACTTTTTTTAGCTGGCTCCTAGATTCCAAACAAATTTGTCAAGTCCTGTTCTAACATGCAGTCAGATGTGAAAGTCAAACTCCTAGCCAGTTCAGGTATTTCAAGTGTTACTGCACCGGGTGCAACTAATAAAGTCCTTCATTAGTTGCATCAAGTTTGCGACACCTGCTTTGCATATTTGTTTTGTTTAAGGGATTTTCAGTTGAGTTTGAGGAAACCATTTGAAGTATTTGTTGTGTTTCAATTGCTTTTGTTTGATTTGTTCATTGCAAAAAGCTGAAAGTCTGTAAAATATCACAATAAACCTAATTTGCAATGTGGGTTAAATAATTTTTATTACAAATGTATAAATAAATGAGGAACATATGGCAAGAGACATGCAAATGTTTGCTGCAAAAAAAATAAATTGCAGAACAAATTGTGATTGGATGACTCAAGTCGAGGTGCTGCAGCAACTAAAGAAAGTTACCGTATATACTCGAGTATAAGCCGACCCGAAAAAAACTGGGAAAACTTATTGACTCGAGTATAAGCTTAGGGTGGGAAATGCAGCAGCTACTGGTAAATTTCTAAATAAAATTAGATCCCAATAAAATTACATTAATTGAATATTTATTTACAGTGTGTGTATAGAATGAATGCAGAGTGTGTGTTTGTGTGTATATAATGAATGCAGAGTGTGTTTGTGTGTTTATATATAATGAATGCAGTGTGTGTGTGTTTGTGTGTTGTGTATATAATGCAGTGTGTGTGTTTGTGCAGTGTGTGTAAACTGGATCAGGGGAGGGCATTTTTTTTTAATTATTATTTTATTATTATTATTATATTATTATTTTAATATTATATTATTTTAATAATATTATTATTATTTTAATATTTGCATTATTTTTTTTAAATGTTTTTTTTGTCCCCCCTCCCTGCTTGTTGCCTGGTCAGGGAGGGGGGACAAAAAAATAATAATAATATAATAAAATAATATTATTAAAATAATATGATATTAAAATAATAATATTATTATATTATTATTTTAATATTTGCATTATTTTTTTTTAAATGTTTTTTATACCTTCCTGCAGCTCCTGTCAGCTCCCTCCTTCTCCGTGCTGTTTACAGTGTAAGTCAGTGTAAGATTTATACTGGGAGCAGAACGGAGCTGACAGAGGAGCTGCACGGAGGAGGGAGCTGACAGGAGCTGCAGGAAGGTAAGTTACAGCTCACTGTCAGCCCCCAACAGGACCGCTGGGCTTGTAATGAGCCCGGCGGTCCTGGTCTGATTGTGGCAATGTAAGATGCCATAATACAGACATTGACTCGAGTATAAGCCGAGTTGGGGTTTTTCAGCACAAAAAATGTGCCGAAAAACTCTGCTTATACTCGAATATATACGGTAATATAAAAAAATATCCAGGGCCTTATGGTGTTCACCCATGAGTGCTTAACCCTTTCCCAACGTTAGAGTGTGCTATGCCATTCTACCGAAGGAGGGCTTAAACACTATTAGGACGGCATACCATGCCCTAACGAACTGGCCCTGCTTCCTACCCGGATACTTACCCTCCGCTACGATAACATTTCAAGTGAGGGAACGCCATGGGACACCAAAAGCTATAAGCACTTCAATGAGATGATATGGCTACAGTGCCAAGAGTGGGTGTTTGGGAGTATATACAATTAAAGTGTCTGTCACCATCCTGGTGTCTTTGTTTATTTAGCAACGACCCCCAATGGTAACTGTTTTACTAGCCAAGGCAAGTTTAAAATTACCTGAACTTATTACTTGTGGACGCCTTTAAGGATATTCTGCTTATAAAGACCTTTGAAGGCTTGACAATGTATTCAGCGCATATCTGACACTAAAAGGTTTATAGAAAATTTGGTTTATAACTTCTGGTCCCCATATTGTAAATAAAATATTTTTGTATTTTTATTGGGAAGGAGCAAATGGCTTTGATATAACAAACACTAATATTTTTGTATATATATATATATATATATTATATATATATATATATATATATATTTGTATCCATGATCCCAGCACTCTGGATTCCCGGTCTTGTGTATGCCCTGGTGCAATCTCGAGCCACAGTATAAATACAATAGATGAGAGCACTCTAGGGTCTGGTTTTGTAAGTCTTGAAAAAAAGTCCACTCTGACTGAAACGTTGATGCGTGTTTTGTGCTGAAAAATCATTTCTTCACTTAATTTCTTAAACTTAATAATTCACATTGTTTATAAAGGAAATTCTTAATTCATTAAGCTGTGGGTGGGTTGGTTCTGAAAAAACTAACACGTTGCAAAAGGTTCCTGTAATACCTTTATTGATCGTCTAATCTTATTCAAAACATGGCTCTGTATGTTTAAGGGTTAGGCAACAGATAGCACTCCAGCTGTTATAGAAATCCAAATCCCACGATGGTGGGCCAAATTACCCAGACTGGCATACAACATTGCCGCTAAATTTGTTTTGAGAAGGGCTATTTGCTCATTAGATTTATATAATGAAGAGAACAGAATTTCTATGCTTACAATTAACCGATTATTAAAGCAGTACTGTCACATCGTTCAATAAAATTCCAACCCAGTCAAAAGATATACTGAGACAAAGTAGGTATTTTTTGTTCTACACGGACACTTCTAAACTATGGGCAGAGCTACTGCCGCCTGGAAGTTTCAACCACCAATCCGTCACTGATGGCTACAGGGAGCTGGCTCGGACTATGGAGGATCCAGTCTCGCAAGATCCTCTATAGACCTCAGTACTGTACTCTCACACATGTTTAGTGAGGGACAGGTTTAGGAAAGTTAAATTAACCATTGTCTGCCCTCCCCCTGGCCACCGCATCCCAGCATGGATGTTTCTGTCAGGGGTCTTTGCAAACCACGCAAAGTCCCCAGGCGGAAACAGTGCCGCTTTAACTTTTCATGATTGGCACAATAAAGGTATCTGCATTCTTTCCATTAAAGGAATATTTTTCTCTCATTTTATGAGTTCTTATCCTCAGAGAATTAAAGGAAATTGTAAATTCCAGTAGCATTCTCTCCTTGAGCACTGCCAGCTGTATGATCCAAATGTTCTGGAGTAGTATTTACCTGACAGAAATTATTCTATTTTGTTTGTTAGTGCTTTCTAAGAGCTAATCACTGTGATGTGAACAACCCACCTGACAAAGCTGACTGCACAGGTAAGAGCTGTTCACGACATAGAATAGCTTAAAACAAGCAGCAGAAATTAGATAAAGTAGACGTTTACTGTAACTCCCATTAATTCTGAGAACCATTGTGACATGTATGTCCTGGTTCTGCCCCAAAAGTAAAGCAGAACTTAACTCCTACACTATTATAACATAGCAGACCAAACCTGACACACTAGCACCAATCTAAAAATATCATATAATATGAATGTACTTACAGCAAAGGAGAAAATAATGCCATTTTGTGTTCTGGAAATTTATAAAACCACTAAGCCTTCAGTCTTTTTTTTCCTTATTTTCTTATGAAGTTTACAGAATAACACACTGCCATTATTTTCTCCTAATACGTGGCCCACAATTTTTCATTTCGTATACATAAATTATACTTTGGCAACACATTCTAGTGGCTCGTTCACTCTACCCTTAAGGCATTATAGCACCCAGAGCTTCCAGGCACCATAACAACATCATAGTCGTACGTTGTTATGGTGCCCAGAATGTCTTTAACCATATTTCTGTGTGCTCATGGCAAGGAATTAGATAAATGTGTGCAGACTTGAGGCACAGTCAATTGCAACTGTTTATGTATCCAAAAATTAATATAACGAAATAGCATAAAAAGTTGATTTCCACAAGTCAAATATCATATTTGACCTGGTTCCTGGGTCTCACATGGATACAGAGTAAAATTAAAAATAAAAAAAAATTTAAAATTACAGTTTTACCAGGTGGTGGAGATAAATATTTCTGTCGCATCACATGTGACATAAATATGTCTTCGTTACATTATTGCATTTTAAATATATATATTTTTTTTAGCAATGCCATCCCCAGTGTTCACTGACCACAAAATAAATCCAAAAGAGCAAAATCAACATAACATATGAAGAAGAAAAAATAAAATTACTATAAATACGAACACAGAGATATTAGCAGTAAAATAATGTTTTTTTCCCCCCATCTAAATGATGACAATCCCTACAGGCCCCAAGACACCATACCCACAGGGCAGATGCCAGCAGCCACAGACAGGGCGGCCCTGCCAACACCCACCCACCTACCTACCTACACACACCCCGCAGCATGCCACTCACCTTCCCTTTCAGGTCCAAAACGTAAACGGCGCTGGCCGACATCTTCCCGGTAAGCGCCCGCTTCCCTCAGCCTGCAGGTCTCCTCCACCGATCACAAGACTCGTCCTCTCCCCTCAGCACCACGGCGCCACCATCCCCGCTACTCTGCTATAGCGGTCCGCACACACCGGAAGTGCAAGAGACTCACTTCCGGCCATCACTGTCACTAGGGAAGGGGTGTTCTTCCCCTACCAACATGGCCGCCTGTCTGCCTGAAAACCGATGATTCATTGTTACAAAAATAAATATATAAATAGTGGCGGGACGTGTGTCCCTGGATGTTGTAGTTTACTCACCCGGTTGCAAGTAACACATTTCCTAATAAATGTTAAAGTGAAAGTTTTAATCGCCGGTGTGCTGTCCATTGCAGCCCATTATACAGAGGTTGCTTGGTTACCGTGCAGCATCCAATGCCATTACCAGGAGCAGGCTAATATAACCCTACAACTGATTTATACAAATCCCTTTTATTCCACAAGGTACACAAAATGTATGTAGAAAGTGATACTATAGACACCAAAACAACTTCGCTTAATAAAGCAGTTTGGATGTGTTGACCATGGCCCCGCAGTCTCACTGCTCAATTCTCTGCCATGTAGGCAGGGACTTAGAGGCAAACAAGGCATTTGCCTTGGGCGGCATGCTCAAGCAAATTCCTCGTTAGCCTGACGGCGGCAACTAAAGATCCAGGCGGACGGGCGGCGCTGGCGAGGGAGCTGACCAGAGAGCTCACAAATCAGTGCTCCCTCGCCAGCGCCACCCATAAGCCTGGATTTTTCGTTAGCTGCCCAACCGCCTGCCTCCCTTCCTGTCAGAAGCCCCATTGGACCCAATGTAAAAAAAATCCACCCAGCACACCCAAAGGTAGGGAGACTGTGTGGATTTAAACTAAAATAGAAAAGGTAATTGGTTAATGTTTGGGGAGGGAGGGGGCTGTCAGTGTGTGTATGTCTGAGTGATTGTGTGTGTCTGGCTGTCAGTGTGTGTATATCAGTGTGTGTCTGGCTGTCAGTGTGTGTTTGAGTGATTAGGTCTATCTGGCTGTCAGTGTGTGTATGTCTGTCAGTGTGTAAGTGAGTGATTGTGTGTGTATATCTGTCAGTGTGTATCTGAGTGATTGTGTGTGTATATCTGTCAGTGTGTCTGTCACTGTGTGTGTGTCTGTCAGTGAATATGTGTTCGTTTCTGAGTGATTGTGTCTGTGAGGGCACCTGTGTGTCTGAGTGATTGTGTGTGTCTGTCTGTCAGTGTGTCTGTGAGTGTCTGTCATTGAATGTGTGTGTGTGTCTGAGTGATTGTGTGTGTCTGTCTGTCAGTGTGTGTCTGTGAGTGTCTGTCATTGAATGTGTGTGTGTGTCTGAGTGATTGTGTATGCCTGTCAGTGTGTGTGTCTATGTCATTGTGTGTGTATGTCAGTGATTGTTTGTGTCAAATCAGTGTGTTTATGTCAGTGTATCTGAGAGTGTGTCTGTCAGTCAAAATGTGTGTTAGTCGTTTAACAGGAAGAGGTGTGGCATTGACAGGAAGGGGTGGGGCAAATGTAAATTAGGTGGTGCTCGAGTTCTGTCATGCCTAGGGCAGCACAGATACTAAATACATCACTGCATGTAGGTGTTACATAGGCTAAGTTCAGCCTTTCTCACATCTGTTTTTGCTGTTGATCAAAAAGAATTGCATTCAGATCTCGTCTTGGATCAAGAAGCTATTGCCCCACAAATTAAAAATGAAATCAATTTGTTTATGCAGCCCTAGTCACACCTCTCTGCACGTGACTCTGACTCACACAGTCTACCTAAACACTTTCTCTAAAGTGAGATCTAATGTTCAAACTTCCTTTATTACACAGTCTGTTTAACTTAGAATTTCGTATCTCTGCTTTGTTAATAAAATTAAAAGAAGTGGTCTGGTTACAGTGTTCTTGTTGTTTAATCCCTCAATGTAACCCTTACATTGAATAAATGTAATACCCCTTTAGTGTCTGTCTTCCTTATCTTGTCCCAAGAGCTCCTCTGTGAGAAGCATTGGATTGGATGAGATCATGGAAGAGTCAGCAGGCATGCTGATAGAGGCGGAGCGGGCGACTTACCACCATTACTAGGTAAGGCAGTATAGGACACGCCCAGTTTACGATCTATGTTTTAAATTATTATCTTTATTATTATTGCCATTTTTATAGCGCCAACAGATTCCGTAGCACTTTACAATATTATAAGGGGAGGATTTAACTATAAATAGGACAATTACAAAAAAACTTACAGGAACGATAGATTAAAGAGGACCCTGCTTAAACAAGCTTACAGTCTATAATTGGTTCCTTATATCAAAAGACACCAGGGAAATGCTCCCAAAAAGGTCAGTATAAGAGCATCATTAGCCACATTTCAACTGTGCAGAGTAATCACAGGCTGTCAACCTGTCATGCAAACACTCCCCTTTTTTGGGCAGCCAGGCACTTTGAGTTGAGATGTATACTTTTGCAATAAGGTAATTAAATCATTTATACTCCGTTACCACAGACATAATGCCATATCTCTCAACTGTGGTGAGTTCAGAGGGGCTGTCTTAAATTCATACCTCTCAACATTTTAAATGGACATTTTAGAGGTGTTAGTGGGGTGTGTGGCCAGGAATGAGGCTTTTCTGGGAGATTTCAGATAACTTCTGATAATTTATGAAACTAAAATGTAATTTAGACCAAGAACAATGTATTTTATTTACACAGACTGATTTCTAAATACATTTATTGTAATTTAAAGACACACTACTGTGAATATTATTGCTATAGAGCTCTGTTATACACTCAGACACAACAACAATATGGAGTTCCTAGAAAAGAGGGACATTGGGAGAAAAAAACAGAGACAAAGGGGTTTGGGTTCAAATAGGGTGATTTTAACTCCAAGTGCAATGATGTCTCATGTGAAAGGCTACAAATGCAGAAGCCGTGAAACAAAAGACGGATGTAGAAACCAATAATAGGGATGTTCATGGGCAAAAAATTTGGTTCGGTTCGGCACTTTCAAAATTTGCGACTTTGGTAATTCCCTAAGCCTACTAGGGTTGGGGGAGGGTTAGCGGAAGGTTGGGGTAAGGGTTAGATTCCTGTCATCATTCCCTTAATTTTCCCTCGCTCTCCTGTTTTGCCACTTTTCAGAAATCCGAAGCACTTTGGTTCGTCACTTCGGAGGCATCCAAATGTCCACATTGCCAAAATTCGTCCCGAAACGAATTGCACATGTCTACCAATTAACATGAAAAAAATCAGAACTCCTTGCACTCAAGCTTAATATAATTAATAGCCCAAAAAACTTCTACTTGCCGGGTGCCAGTCTTCTTAGGGGAATTTGATATTCACACAAATAAAACTTAAGCTGCACTCACAGACTTCCAATACAAAAAATTATTTAATTCATCAAAATGGCAAATCGACATTTCGGTCCGCACAGGGACCTCCCTCAGGACAGTCCGTGAGTGCAGCTCAAGTTTTATTTGTACCAATTAACATGGATATAAAAATAGCCAACATTCAGAGAACCACAGCACTTGAGAATCACTTATTTGACAAACTCCAAGGAAACACTGGCGAATATGAGGTAAAAGGCTAAGTAAACTTCTATCCTTCCAGCTCATTGGAACTGCTGTATATGCACTTTACTCATTTCAGAGTCTGCAAACAAAAGGATCCTCCGAACTTACAGTGTGCACCGCACCAGAGATAGGTGGCCTCCTAGTGGTCAATGCAAATATATCACAATTTATTTTGGGTAATTTTCCTTGTGTGTTTGCTTGGGTATTTTTTTATATACTGTATTAAATACTTCACTACAGTTACTTTCTTCTTGTGTTCTTTCTCGTTGGATGATTTCCCTTGTTTATCATCTGAGAGTGCTTTGACCAGAATTTTAAAGCTTTTTTAAGGTAACATTCTATCACACTATTTTGCCTTTTGTGTGTTCACAGTGTGCACTTTAATATTTGCGCCAAATACATTGTTTTATTTAGAACTGTAAGAGGTGGTTCTGTTTTTAGGCAGCCCTGTTACACTTTATCAAAGTTACACTTTTGTACTTGAGAGCATCATTAGCCACATTTGAACTACACAGAGTAATCACAGGGCACTAAGCCTGTGTAAAGAAAACTTCAGAAAAGCTCTTCATGTATGCAGGTCTGAATGCTGAGTGCTGACCAGGTAGACTGTCAACCTTGCATGCAAGCACCCCCACTTTTTGGACAGCCCAACACTTTCAACTTATTGCCAAGTTGGGCGGTATACTTTTGCTATAAGGTAATAAAATAATTTATACTCTGTTGCCACAGACACAATGCCATATCTCTCAACTGTGGTGGGTTCGAAGGGGCTGTTTACATTCATCCCTCCCAACATTTTGAATGTACAAAGAGGTTACTTTAGTAATAGAGGTGTTAGTGGGGTGTGTGGCAAGGGGTAGGGCTGCCCTGATAGATTTCAGATGACTTCTCACATGGACTTCTGATAACAATTTATGAAATTAAAATGTAATTTAGAACAATGTATCTTATTTGCACAGACTGATTTCTAAGCATATTTATTGTCGCTTAAAGACACACTACTGTGAATATTATTGCTATAGAGTTTTGTTATACAAACAAAAAACAGAAATATGGAGTTCCTAGAAAAGAGACAGAGGAATTAGGGTTCAAAATAGAGATTGTCCCTCCTAACTAGGTACACTTCGAATGTATGAAAATTCAGGGTTCCAGGTGTCTTGTATTTGTGGACAGAGGATATGTCCAATATTAGCGCAGCTCTAGCACATTATTAGATATACAGTACTCACATTTCTCTGTGTAACCTCAGACCTATAAGACTGTTGAGAAAGCACCAAGGAAGGTGTGAAATGCCACACCCAGGGCTTTCACTCTTTTTTTTAGGGTAGTCTCTCCCGTCTGACAGTTGCAGGTAGTACGGCAAATTGATATTTTCCAAACATAATTTTTTTCCCTCTCTATCTTGCTGGGAAATTTGTGTCATCTAAATGCACTACAATGGTTTGGTGTGATATGCCTGCACTACCTTTAGCACCTATGAGGGCTGCTGTGACAGTATTGATACTGTGTACACCATGATTTTTTTGATATACATACTTTTTTTTAATCAATAAATGTGCACTCTTTTCATATACATTCTTCTGTGGATTATTTGGGATTATCTATGTGTACAGACCTACATGCAGCTATCGTGACACTATCAGAACATTGACAGCTCTGTTGTGGGTGACCAGACAGGCAGTCAGTCACCTTCTGTGCATTCACAGCATGACATGCCCTCTTTTCAGGCAGGTCCACCCGCGTGACAGACGGGCCATCTACTGTCACAGCCTCGTTTTGACTCACATGAGTCTGTAACAAGCTCATATGGCGTTACAGAAAGCAAACATCTGAGCCAAATCATTACCTTTTCAGTTCTAATAAAAGCAGCATTTGATTAACCATTGAGCTCCTTGACCCTCTTCTGCTTGCTCGCCTCTGGATTGGAGGTTCTGCCACCTCTGTCTGTGTCACACCTTGGGAAAATCCTAGCATAAAATGTGTGCAGTTCTTCAATTGTGTTCAATGGGTGAATCCACTCAAAAAGAGTAGGTCTGAAATACTGTCGAGCCCCACTCATGGTAGCTTATGCACATGGTATTGAAATGCTATTGAAGTGGGTTGAATGTTCTGAATGCACTTTGGTTAGACATAAGCCCAAATTCACTACTGTTTTGCCAAATCCAAGATATAATTCAATGTAATCATTGCAGCTTCTCTAAACCCAAGGGGGGCAGAGACACCGCACCCAGACCACTTCCATTAGATGAAATTCTCAGGGTGCCTTTAATTAGTCCAAAACACTAAATTACAACATTATTTTTAATCTGATATTCAAAAAAAATAAAAATGTAAAATTACTTGATGGAAGATTCACCTGCTTTTTAAAAAAAAATTTAAAAAAAATGTTGCGGTTTGATACATAAATTACAAGATGGTGCTGTAAGAAGCAATTCAAATTACACTATTTAATGAATAACCCGGTGTAAAATACCATACAAAATGCCCTTTGACTGCAAGGCTAACCCCCATTAGTTGCAGAACCTTAAACGAAAACAAACATCTATTCCTGACCCTTTAATGTTTAACCCACCCTTTAGGTGGCTTGTCAACCCTTAGCCCCCTATAAAAAAAAGTTTAAAACTCCCCTTATTTCCAGCGGAGCGTGGGTCCGCCGGCTCCAGCCCATTTGTGACATCAAAATTGCCATTTTTTGTCCAATCCAATGCTTTCCCTGTGGGAAAGCATTGGTTTGGCTAAAATCTGCTAGGGGAGCAGGCCAAATGCCATTTTGGCCAATCAGGAGGAAAATTCAGCGTCTCCATGCTGAGCGTGGGGACGCTGAACGTCAGGACTGCTTTTTTTGGTAGCAGTGACCCAGGAAGCACCTCCAGTGGCCATCTAAGGAGTAGCTTCTTGGAGGTGTCCCTTGAGGCAATGTAAACACTGCCGTTTCTCTGAAAAGGCAGTGTTTGCATGAAAAAAGCCTGAAGGGAGCTATTATACTCACCAGAACAACTACATTAAGCTGTCCCTTTAACTCTTATTAGGATTACTATGAATTTGACCATTTTATGCATAAAAGACAGTAAATACAAACTTGGATTGGGGAAAACAAATATATATATACATATATATATATATATATACACTTTTAGCTTCTTTTCACTTTTGCACAAATTCATAAAATCAATGTGTTAATACACAGGCATGTAGAGCTTACAATACCTGGTCACTGTCCCAGCAAGAGAAAGTATACAACAGTTTTCAGCAGAAACCACTGGAAAGACCTTTATTGACTGAAAGGTCAAAGAAACGTTTAAAATAAATGGGGTTCTATGTTTAAAATAGATGATCTGAATATTTTATACAATCAAGTGTGGCAACATAATGAACACAATAACAATGTGTGTCTGGTCATCCTGGCTTTCTGCCTTAATCCAGAAAGATTACAAGCAAGTAAAAAACAAAGTTCTATAAATAAAGAAAAAGAAAAACTGTATTATTTTGTCCAGCTGACTTTAGGAATATCATAATGCTCTGTCAGGGTATCCAGATGCCGATTAAAATCCTAGGAAGGAAGAAAAAAAAAAAAAGGTTAATGTTTTGAAAAGCATCATCAATAAAGTACCTGTCTGAACACAGTTGTTTAAAGTGGCTTCATTCACTTCTCAGTATTTCACATAAATGTAATGTTCATGAAATACTCATACTGTTCATGCTTTTTTCTCTTTTTTCTTTTTAAACGGTGCAATAAAATCTACCTGTATTCACAGCACAGTGCCAAATACAACCTTGCAGGCATAGGAAAATGGTAGAGTATTGTTAGAGTTTCCGGACAGATGGGGATTTATCTTTTGGCCACCCTTGCGATTGGGAGGGTCCAAAACAATTCTTGCACCAGGGTCCTCTACTTTAGTTCCGCCACTGCATTTGGGAGCGGAGGTCGTGATTGCATGACAAAGATGGTGCATGGTCCAAAGTGCCCTAGCAAATGCTTGTCCAGGGTCCAATCAATATTAAAGTCGGCACCGATATCCACTGAACACATTCAGTCTATCACAGTGCCATTGCTGCTATAAAATGGTCTGGCTACAAGGAATAGTGCAATCTCTGCCTTGGCAAGACCTTTAATGGGAGGGCTATGGAAAGCCAGGGACAGTCATTCAGTTTTAAACTGCTTACAAATGGTTTAACATTGAATAGAGGGTCAGTGACAGGGGACTCAAGGAACTCTAACCAATTCAATAAGATAGAATTGTTACAGTGCGTACCCCTTTAAAAAAAAAAAAAAAAACATAATATCAAGATCCTTTCCTTATGCACAATAAATAAAAAAAATTCACTCACCTCTACCCTTTGCTTGTGGGTTTTGGATGCTTTTTTTAATATCCTCTCCATTTGCTGTAGAGAAAAAAAAAAAAAAAAATCACTCCATCAGATTTTTATTCCAAGTGGGACAACAGTGACTTCTTAAACATTTGGCAAAGTAAAAAAAAAATAAAAACAGGGGTCACCATAGTTTTCTGTGCTTCGTTCACTGCAAACAGATTGTTTTCAAACACTATTTGAGCAAAGGTGCGTGTAGATGGCTGAAGGATCTTATCATATACTAAAGCGGTGACAGTTGTTCACCAGCCAGCATGCTAAAAGGTTTTACTCATTTTTATTCATTGTAAGCAATCAAGCAGTTTTTGGATGGTTTAATTTCTAATCTGGGTTTACTGAGCAAATGATCAGGAACTTTCTTTAATCTAGCCATGGTAGTGTAGGTTAAACAATTTGACGCCTTAAAATGGGATTGGGAGTGTGGAGGCTTATGGTGCCTAAAGTGCTTCTTTAAAGGGACACTATAGTCACCCAGACCACTTCAGCTCAATGAAGTGGTCTGGGTGTCAGGTCCCTCTAGGGTTAACCCTGCCTGATGTAAACATAACAGTTTCTGAGAAACTGCTATGTTTACATCTGGGGTTAAGCCAGCCTCGATTGGCTGTCTTCCGGACAGCCACTAGAGGCGCATCGGCAACGATTGAGGCATATTATGCCTCAATCACGCAGAGCGTCCATAGGAAAGCATTGAAAAATTCTCTCTTACGGACACTTTGAATGCGCCGCGCATGCGGCGCCGGTGACATCGGCGGGGGAGGAGAGGTAAGGGAGCCCAACTGAAGGGGTTTTAACGCGGGAGGGGAACCCTCAGGGTGGGGGCACCCTCAGGGTACTATAGTCCTGACACTATAGTGTCCCTTTAAGCTAGAGAACAAACAGACACAATGTATTCACATACTGTGATAGAGCTACAGGGGAAAAAAAAAAAAAAAATGTGTTACAGTGACACCATAGACTAAATATGAACATTATATATATATATATATATACACACACACACACACACACACACACATACATACACACACACACACACACACAAAAAGCCATTCCTGGGGTCAATATTATTTGCAAAAAGAGTGCAATACATGGCCCATAAGACCCTGCTCCCACCCCTTCGTTTCTTATTGTATATTAGGGGCACCTAAATACCACTGCACATCCCTCATTGAAGACACTTCAGTCATACAAGACAGGGTGGATGCATAAGTAACAGGATTCCAGCACAAATCAGGAAAGCAATTTTAACTAATGTGTTTTCGAGTTAAACCTATTCAGAACTAAAATATGATGTACCAGCTTGAACCGTCATAAAAATTACATAGACATGCATGAGTAATTAGCAGCATACATTCTCTCTGAGTTTTTGCATTGTCTTACTCTTTTCTCTTGCATTTTTTCAAACGCTAGTTGAGCTGGGGTTCTTTTGTCCAGAGATGGTTTTTTCTTCTCGTCTTCATTTTTGTTATTAGTTTGCATCATCATCTGTTGTACTATCTTGTTTTTATCTTTGTCTTTCTTTTTCTTCCTGCAAAATGTACGTTTTATAATATGAGACATAGGTAAGCAAAGTAAGCCAAAACAAAAAAACAGCTCTATTTGAAACCTATTTTAAATTTACTTAGCAAAGTAGGAGTATGCATGTGGGTGCGCAAATTGATTCAAAAATTACTTGACTGGCTATACTGCAACAACCTGGTCTACAGTTCAAGAAACAGCAAGACTTTAAAACGACCACATTGGGAGTTTCTAAACAAACCAAGAAAAATAAAAACAAAAAAAATAAAATGGCAAATTTGCAATTTTTGTTTTTTAAATATAGTTGATCTGGAAAAAAAAGAAAAAAAGTTTTGAAGTTGTATCCAGTTCACCTCTTTTGTTTTAGAAATTAAATCCCATTGCCAATCGCTCAATAGTCAAGGTTTTGTACAGAAACCCAATTTGATTGCATGAAAATAGAACCAGGAAGTAATTTATACTCAAAGGAATACAATGGGTGTATTTAAATTTTTTTTTTATTATTATTTATTCACACTTTGAAATTGAATCAAATATTATCCAGTTATTAAGTCAGACATTAAGTAATAATTATTATAATATTATATAATAACTAATTGCGTTAGAATCCATGAGACTCAGCCCATTTAACTACTTTGTTTTATAAGAACACAGGACGTGGGTGCATCCAAACTTCGTTTTCCTTCTAGAAAGCAGTATGATATATGGTCCAGGTGAGTCCCATGACCATCTGGCAATGTTTACATCCGGCACTGGGAGAGCCAGCACAGCTACAGACATGAACTGATTACCACTCGGCAGAAATAGCAATAAAACCACCAGCGGAGAGAGATAAAAGGTGTGGGGGTTATTCTTACTTCTTTCCCAGACTGATGTCCCCGATGCCTTTCAGTTTGAGCGCTCCTTTCTGCACACCCTGGTACTCCGCCATGTCGAAACGTTCTGAGCGGCTACTTCCGGTTACCCTTAAAGTGGTTGTTGACGTCACCAAAGATCGAACGGTGAATGGATAGCTGGGCGGCGCGGATTGGCTGGTTTAGTAGTTACGTCACTCAGTAAGAAAAGGAAGCTGAGTGCTGAGGCTTTGCGCATGCCTTATGGGTGGTGTGTGTGTGTGTGTGTTGTAGTGACACCTTGTGGACATTCTTGCTTAAGAACTTTTTAAAAATCATGTAGGAATGCTTGATTTACTTGGAATTTTAAAGAACTGGGAAACAAATGTTTCATGCAATGGCAATAGTAATCCTCGCCAACGTCTTTGGTGAGCCAATGGTACCCCAAGGCATGGGTCCTCAAACTCCGGCCCCCCAGATGTTGCTGAACTACAACTCCCATGATTCTTTTAATTACATAGCTAGCCAGAGAATCATGGTAGTTGTAGTTCAGCAACATCTGGGGGGCCGGAGTTTGAGGACCCATGCCCCAAGGTGTGCATTTGTGTCTCTTTGTTATATTTTTTTTTTGATGTAATAAAACAGAGAATGTATTCCATCTAGCTGTAGTATGCTTTTCCTGGGTGGTAGCATCACATGTAGATTTTAGCTTGAACCAATCAGGACAGGAGTTTAAGGAACACTTTATGCAATATAACCACTTAGTGCCAGGAGTGCCTTCCAATTCACTATATTTTCCTGTTTTTGGCTATTTCAGATGACCGCATCACAGGCAAGCCTCCTTCTGGATATTTTAATAACAGGAAGTTCATTGTAGCGGTTATGGTGCCCACAGTGCCCTGGCTCCCCCCTACCCATCCCTTTTTTTTTTAAAACAACATTACTTCTTATCTGGGATCTGCCAGACGCCACTCCGTCTCTGCTCATTACTAACACCTGAGAGCTGGAAGTTCCTAAGCAGGAGCACCTGACACTCTTAGACAATTATTATTATTTTTATTATTTATAAAGCACCAACAGATTGTGCAGAGCTGTACAATAGATGGACTAAAAGACAAGTATTTGTAACCATTGTAACCAGACGAGTTGGACGCACAGGAACAGAGGGTGCTCAGGCCCTGGGGAGATAGCGCAGCTAAGCGGACAAGGGCACGTGGATGAGTGTGGGGATAGATACTTGTGATTGGCTGTATGTATACACCCTGTTCCAAATTATTATGCAAATTCTATTTAAGTGTCACAAAGATTAAATAATTTGATTTTCAGTTTAACTCATGGATGGCATTGTGTCTCAGGGCTCTTTTGATCACTGAAAACAATCTTGGACACCTGTGATAATTAGATTGCCAGGTGAACTCAATTTAAGGAAAAACTACTAAAGGAGGGTGTTCCACATTATTAAGCAGAGCACCATTTTCATGCAATATGGGGAAGAAAAAGGATCTCACTGCTGCCGAAAAGAGTGAAATAGTTCAATGCCTTGGACGAGGTATGAAAACATGAGATATTTCACGAAAACGTAAGCGTGATCATCGCACTAGTAAGAGATTTGTTGCTGATTCAGAGCACAGACGGGTTCGTGCAGATAAAGGCACATTGAGGAAGATATCCAGATCCATGCATCGGATCAAGAGAGCAGCTGCTAAAATACCATTACATAGCAGAAAACAGATATTTGAAGCTGCTGGTGCCTCTGGAGTCCCATGGACAACAAGGTGTAGAGTCCCCCAGAGTGTTGCAACTGTGCATAAACCTTCTATTCGGCCACCGAAACGGCTGCATTGGGCAGAAAAATACATGAAGACTAATTTTCAAACAGTCCTGTTCACGGATGAGTGCCGTGCAACCCTGGATGGTCCAGATTGATGGAGTAGTGGATGGTTGGTGGACGGCCACCCTGTTCCAACAAGGCTTCAACATCAGCAAGGCGGTGATGGAATCATGTTGACCTCTGCAAAGTATGTGGAGTTTCTGACTGACCACTTTCTTCCCTGGTACAGAAGGAAGAACTATGCTTTCCGTAATAAAATCATCTTCATGCATGACAATGCACCATCTCATGCTGCAAAGAATACCTCTGCATCAATGGCTGCAATGGGGATAAAAGGAGAGAAAGTCATGGTGTGGCCTCCATCCTCCCCTGACCTCAATCCTATTAAGAACCTTTGGAGCATCCTCAAGCAAAAGATCTATGAGTGTGGGAGGCAGTTTACATCCAAACAGCAGCTCTGGGAGGCTATATCTTGCAAACAAATTCAAGCAGAAACTGTCCAAAAACTCACAAGTTCAATGGATGCAAGACTTGTGAAGCTGCTATCAAGTAAGGGGTCCTATGTTAAAATGTAACGTGACCTGTTATAATGTTTAAAAAGTTAAAATGTTGTTAAAAGTTTGATTGAAATAGCTTTTGATTTCAGTAAATATGCTGCAAACACAACAAATGACAATTTTCAGTTCTTTACAACCTATAAAGTGTTTTGAAACTTACTGTGCCTAATAATTTGGAACAGTGCATTGTAAGTTTTTTATGTTTAAAAAAAATACTGTTATCAGTAGGAGGTTTGTTCAATAAAACTTGAATTGTACTCTTAATAGTTGATAACATGAGAATTATTCTGACTGTTATTTACATCAATTATTTAGGTAAATGATAAAAATATAATTTGCATAATAATTTGGAACAGGGTGTATATGAGAGTGGTTATGTGTTTGGGAGTGGTGTAGGGTTCATCTTACCTCAGTGCCTCTTGGGAGACGGGCCAGCAAACAACTTACCGTGACTCTGTTGATTCTGTTTTTCAGGATCAGTGGGAATGGGGACGCAAGTGTGCAGGGATTCCCGCTTAGGTAGTCAGCTTTGGCGGTTTGGTCTGCCGCGCATCAGTCTCAAGTGGTGCAGACTGAGCAAGGGGTCATGGGACGCCATGCCTAGTGTCACTAGTGTTCCTTCGGTGGCGTCTGGTGCTACCGTAACTGCTGCTGTAGGTGCGATAATCGGTGCCATTGAGGTTCCTGCGGTGACTATCGACTCTCTGGGCGTTTTCAACATGGCACGGGGGCCCGCTAATATGTGCTGGGCTGGGCCTCTGGGTTTTCATCTGTTGTAGGGAATTGGGGATAAAATTGGGAAGGGAGAATTTATCGAGATTTCTTCCTCCTGCCAATGGAGGAGGCTCCTCCACTGGGGGAGGAGGACAGCGAGGAGTTGGAAATGGAGAGAGAACAATCCGTTACCGGATGGTCCCCAGGACTTTCAAAAATTGTATTCGCGTGTTTTAATCTGGCTGGTGTCATTGGGGAGAAGGCACCTCACAAGTGCTCCACATTGTTCTGCTACAAGGACACCATTTGGAACACTTGTCGGACCTATGGTGGAAGTGTGACGAGCCATTTCGTCCACGTTTGGCGGTGGTTCCCTCAATTTTCTGGGATCGGATGGACATGGCATCTGACTCCCCATTCTGACCTGCGTTTCAGCAGGGTGGTTTCTCATCCTTTCTTGGGGTGGCCGGTGGGTGAGGATTATCTGCATCCCCAGCAGCACAGCAGAGGTCAGGCTGTTGTTGCACATTTAATGACAATCATTGTACAGGAGGTGCCTTGTGTACAGAATGCTCCACCGGCGGGGGTGCTCATCCCATTTCCCGGTGTTTCCGAAGGGGACAAGCTAGTGAGACCAGGGATCTGGATACTACGGGCAACAACGGTAGTGGTCGTAAACATGAAGTGCCCGTGGCTCGCCCGTTATAGGATCCGTTGGGCAGCCAATGTACTGTTGGATGGCGTGGAGCAAGGTTTTTGGATTCCTTTTTCCTTCGCCCCTTTGTGGCTGGTTCGGTACCTTTGGTCAGTCCGGGTTTTTCCCGCATGTGGTCGATGACACTTGTCAAGGAGGTGTCTCTGGGTCACATGGCCTTTAGCGACCCCCTTTACTGGACTGGCTGGTCTCCCCCTTGGACGTGGTGCCCAAAGAGGAGCAAGGGAAATACTGTATGATTCTTCGTTTGTCAGGCATTTGTGGGGTTTCGGTGAATGAGGGCATCTTTTCGGGACTCTGGGGCATCGAGATTGCTTCTGTGGCAGGTTTATGCCGCTTGCCTCGGATCCGGTTCGTTTCTTGCGCGGGACGTGTCTGGCCCTAGGGCTCCATAAGATCTGACTGCATGACGTCTGGGGTCACCTGACCCCAGCGCTTCATTTGGCTGACTCGGTCTTTGCAGGATGATCTGGCGGTCTGGGACTCCGTCCAGGCCGCGTATAATGGCAGGTCCTACTGGCAGGTGCCTGAGGTCTCTAACACGGTCCTACACCTCTTCACGAGGTGTGGCTCGGTTGGGTTTGCAGTGATTCTGGGCTCTAGATGGTGTGCTTCCTGTTGGCATGTCACTGGCCTCACTGGGACTGGGCTCCCGAGGATCTCTTCCTGATGCTAGTGGCATTGGAAGTCCCAGTTTCGGAAAAAAATGTTGTGTTGCTTCCGCAGTTGCGGGAAGGTTGGTCTACGCTACACTCCTGACAAGATTGGGTGGGGATCCCCCTCTGGGCTGGTACTCAATTTCAAGGCCTGTCTCTTTGTGTTTGCCTATTCCCTGGCATTCTTTAGGGCCATGCGCATTGGGGAATTGGTGATTCCTTAGAGGTGGGGTGTTGTTTGCCACTGTTCAGTGCTCTGTGGATCATATCGCTATAAGAATTTAAGACACTCTAAGTCGGATGTCTTCGGGAAGGGTATGGGGGTTCGGCTATTTGCACTTTTTTCCTTTGTGGAGAACTGTGAGCTGCGCCCAGTATTCACGGGCCCTCTTTTGGTTAATTCAGATGGGATCTTTCTTTCCCATTCCCAATTCTTTGAGTCTTTCGCTCGAGGTTGATGGTTCTGGGGATTGACAGCAAGGAATATTGTGGGCATTCCTTTCGGTTTGGTGCTGCCTTGGAGGCTTTTAGGATAGGTATGCCAGCGCACGCGGTGCAGAGGATTGGGAGGTGGGAATCTGGGCATTTTTGTCTCATATGTTCATGCTCCTGCAATCCCAGGCGTCTCTTTGACACCTTTAATTCTCTTCTTCGCCCTGCTGTGGCCACCCCCTAAAATAACCTTACTGCCGATAGCTTTGCCAACAAGCTT